CTGAGTAAGAATAACAATCATGTTACTGTCAGCATGTAACACTAAAACTGAAGGGTTGAATGTAATGAAACACCAATATCTGGGCGAGTCCCAGTGGCCCTCTGAAGCTATCTCACTGAGATGGCCCCTAACTATTCAACCATTCAAGGTAGGAAAAATAAACCTAATTATTATTCTGATATGCAAACTGCCAGATGCAACAGCTGAGGTATTCATATAGCAGATATACTGTACACAAAATGGAGAATATCCTTGATAACCTAGCAAACCCAGCACTAGATATCATCTTGTTTGGAGATTTCAATCTACCTAGTTTAAGATGGAGAATGGCAAATAATAACATTACAGACAATGAGTCACAATAACATGGCTGAAGATATGATGATCAAACTACACATCAGAAGATGAAGAAACGGTGTTTCGGTCCATCCTGGACCATTATCAAGTCATGTGGGAGTGGAGAGAGGATTGATTGATTGATGAAGTTTAAGCCACCCAAGAGGTGGCATGGGGATGAGTAGCCCGTAAGCCATGGAAAGAGGATGTTGTTGTTGTAGATTCAGCTACTTAGAACGAAATGTTCCAAGTAGCATGGGCTATGGTGAGCCCGTATGGAAAGAGGAAGGAACAGGTCAATAAATAAGGAAAGAGTGAGGTGAGGAGCAAGTAAGAGAAAAAATAATTTCTAGAAGGTAAGGTGTAAGGTGAGGAGCAGGTAAGAGAAGTAGGTAAGGCAGGACTTGCTGGTCGACCATGGCGACGGATGGTGGTTCGCGCAGCTTTTCTCACGTGGACATTTCCGATCTCTGAGGGTTTTCAGGACCCATTGTCCCTTGGCATGCATTCTGGTCACGACGTTCTCCTGGTCTTGGAGGGGAATCCCGAGGGGTGTTTTTCTGGACAGTAAACATCATAGTAAGGCTAATAGATTGGAGGCGAAACATCACCTGCGTCCTGCAGTGCCCTGTGACGAACCGCCTCTGGGAACGGATTAAATTTGTAAACAAAGGTACCACTGTATATATGTATTGCTCCCTTTATGGGTTAACACTTTGCCTGGCCCGGCAGGCCATCTACAGGCAGGCCATCTACACTACAGTGCACCACAAGGTAGGCCAAGCGTTGCCTGTGAGCGCACAACCACACTCCAATGTTTATACTCTTTCCAGTTTTTTCACCTCAATTTTCGTGCTATGTTGTTTATTTTGGTATAAAATTGTTTGCAATATAATTCTCTAAGGGAATATATATATGCATATAAGGTCAAATAGAAGAACAACATTACCAACACCATAAGATAAAGTACATCGTGTCATGTGGCTATCCACGCAGTGGTGGAGTGATGCCAGGTGGGGTAAACAGTATAGAGAATGGGAAGACAATGGCGCACATTTTGAAACAAATCCCATAATAATCAGACAATAAATAGAATTTTTACAAATATTTTAATTATTGACGGCGTTAACGCCATGTCCTACACTACGTGAATTGTTTTAAAGACTGCGAGAACGTCACCATGAATCGTAAGTATTAAAGAGATCCTCACGAGCTGCTGACTGAGCGACTTGAGAGGAAGGAAACCTCTGGAAGGATGGTTCTGACAGGCCTAACATCATGCGGAAATGAATATGGCAGGAGCCACAGACAAATGAAAATCATACAAGGAGAGGGGAATATGAAAACCCCCCCTCCCCTTGAAGTAAAAGGCCCTCATCTGAAGGGGTGAAGACCCAACCAGGCAGACAAAGCAAACCTGTAAAGCAGTATCTACCTGATATGCATAAACTTCATCAGGAGGGTCAGATAGGAGAACCACATAAGGAGTGCAAACCCCACAGGATTCTGGGCCATAGGTGTGTCCAAGACAACAGTCGGCATGCCAGAGGCAGAACGAATGATCATCGCCCTGTGGCATGGACAACAATAAACCCTTAAATTTGTACAAGACAGGAATGGTTTTGGAGGGAATATCCAATAGCAAACTGTACCCATAGGAAATTTCCAGGGCGTGAAGGGCAAACCAAGCAAGACAACCAGGCAACGGGGATGCTACACCAGACCTAACAGTAAGCAGACACAGTATGGGCTACATGACTGAAGGTCCATCTCAGCGTACCATATATACAAGCACACAAGCCACCAGAACGCTGCACTAGCCAATGCTCACTCTCGACCCAGGTCAAGACAGAGGAGCAAGAGATCCATGACTCACCTAAGGCAAGTACCTCCCCCACCAAAGCAGGAAGCACCTCTAAGGTAGCAAACTACTGAACACACCAGAAAAGAGAGCATTTTTCTCTTAGAGAAAAGAGAGTTCTCTCTCACACTGTGTACAAGAGAGCACTCAGAGAAGTTGATCCTGAGCACATGCAGCCAGAGTACTCTAAAAAGCCAGGCCCATACTGCACCATGGTACACAAAAAACCAGAAAGGACACAAGTCCAAAGAAGCAATTAGCTGAAAAAGCAATGGGGTTAGCCACATCTTACTGATGACCCTGGGTTCCTACTGCAGTAGCCTGACATGAACTGCATCAGTGGAGGAAGTAATGGCTGGAGCCAGAGGGGGACATTGCGAGTCCTGGGCCCCTCTCCCTCCCCAAATGAGTGGGAGGGGTGAGGCAAACAAGCACATGCTTCTTTCAAGATATTTTCAATCATTTGTCGACATTCTTGGGAGAGTTCATTCAGTGGATTGCGAGGCTTTAGTCTTCTTTTTTAACCCAGTAGTGGTCTGTACCAGTTTGCTGCCTTCCCCTGGTGATATGGGGGCGTGTCAATCTGCTTCCTGCACCTCTGTGAGGGGGATCTAGGTTCTAGCTCTGATCCCAGTAGGCTGCACTAAACTCCACAACTGGTGTGATTCAGTAGTTAGGGGCTATTTTAGCAAGATAGCTACTGGGAGCCACAAGGGGTTCCCCCAAGAAAACAGGAGCAATGACCAAGCAAATGGCTCCCACAGGACATGATCCGAAAGATGGCCAGCACTTATATGAGAAAAAGAAGTGGGACTCAGCAGCAGGAGCTACTGGATGCCACCTATTGGCTGCTTTCTGCACTAGAGGATTCAAGCAAAGCTTTGATTGAACCAGTTTTGCTTTGAATGAACCGTATGCAGTTATTTGGCTGTTTCGATGTTTCATTTTCTATGAACCTTGCGATTATCTGTAATGCTTCACTTACTTTCTGAATGCTTTCTCAGTGTGGGTGATTGTAACAATGCCCACCTCTCTGTGCCTCTGTGAGGGAGGAGGGGTTCAAGTTCTGGCTCTAATCCCTGGTAGGTCAAAGCAGGAATCATATTATAATAATAATAATACTGTAATAATGAAAATAATATTGATGTGACTCAATAGTGGGAAGACATTTTAGTGAAATAGCTTCAGGGAGCTACCAGGACTCTTCCCAGATATAAAAAAATCTTTTATAACAAAAAATCTTTATAATAAATGTAAGGAAATGCAATGTCATTCTTACCAAAGCTTCTTTATCCACATATGGCAACTGGCTGTATGCTCGCAGTGTATCTATTATAACCTCAGCTTTCCCCTCTTCCACCAACTTTGGAATGATAGAAGTGCAGTTAATGAGTGTGTCACCTGGGTTAGTAGCTCGGAGTCTGGGTTTTGAGCCGTCCTCACCAGGTGGTGATTCAGGAAGGTTCAACTTACTATGGTGCTCTCGTTCATTGCGAAGGAACCAGTCCACTAAATGACGAACCAGGTGGCCTGTATGCATTAAATAAAGCACAATAAAGAAAAGTGTATTTTAATTACAATTAACTTAATTATTATATCTTCCCAATATATGTCAGAAATTTTTGACACCATTTACTAACCTTTAACATGAAATAATTGCCGTTTCATGTTAAGTAAATATTAACCATAAATACCTTAATTAAGCATGCTAAGAAATTTAGATTTCGGGCCGTCTCTCAGAAAATGAAATATGTTGCCACGTGCCCAGATTAGAATTACCCATAAACATGTATCATAGATCTAAAAACACCAGTCTGGAGACCATAATGAATTAATAAAGTATTCTCTAAGACTCGATATAATTAACTCACAAATAAAAACAAGGTCTCCTTCCAATTGTTGATAAGAGGACAGGAACAGAACTGCTCCCGATATGCTATTATATCCGAAGTCTTGCCATGACAACACGCTTGCATAAGCACAGAAAAGGGCCTCCCACTAGTCACGACTGCTGAGAGATGCCAGTCTCAAATTATCAGGCACCTTTCTGGGTGCCTGACCAGATCGATGGCAGACATAGAATGCTTCCAACCACACCGGGGTTTCTATAGGCCATTGCTCCTCGTGCCTCTCTGAGAGGGCCAGGTGGTTAGGGGGGCCCCCCCCCTGGGGGACAGGGGGCCAGGCTGAGGGGGCCACAAGCCAGGTGCTGACTCGTGGTCCCCGGTAGGCCTAGAACTCCATTCACATTGACTAATACCAAAGTCTAATATATCAATAGCAGCCTGGATAACTCGAGGGAGCCACAGGGGCTCTCCCCAGAAATGTGAGCAGGTTTGTAAGGTAGGATCTATTTTTAACAAACCCATGTTGTGTCAATTACTTCATACCGTAAAATGTTTGTGTAGCCTGACAGCTGTGTGAACAGCGCTTTGGATTCAAAGTCCTAAGGTTCCGGGTTTGATCCCCGGTGGAGGCGGAGACAAATGGGCAAAATGTTTCTTTCACCCTGATGCTCCTGTTACCTAGCAGTAAATAGGTACCTGGGAGTTAGACAGGCTGCTTCCTTGGGGTTGAGACCTAGTCGAGGACTGGGCTGCGGGGACACTAAGCCCCGAAATCATCTCAAGATAATCCCAGTATGTTATAATCCATAACGTATAATGTTTATGTAACCCCAGTATAGTACAATCCATAATGTACAATATTTGTGTAGCGCCTGTATAGTACAATCCATAATGTACAATGTTTGTGTAGCCCCAGTATTGTACATTCAATACAATATTTGTGTAGCCTACGTATAGTACGTACATCTATACAGTACAATGTTGACGCAAGATCAAATGTAAGGTAGCAAGGAGAGTATTTCTAAGGTGAAACAAGACTTACTTCCATTCCAAGCAACATTGTTGGAACCAGTCACCAACAGCTGCTTCAACTTAGCCAGTGAAGCATCACTCTCACTTGCCATCTTGGCTCACTATGATGGACTGTCGTTTCCCTTTTTTAAGCTGCACCAGTTCCTGGAAAATATGCTGCCTTTAATTTTAACATTATATAAACCTTGAGGTCTATGCCTAAAATAAAAGAATTAGTGTCATTTTATTGAGCATCTAAATGATTAGACTGGCAATTTATTTTTTTTTTACACAGGCACAAAAGTAGATGATTTCCAACTTGTATTAGTAGGTTTAGAGCTTTCCCTTGCAATACCTCTTCTTAATTATAAATATAATTCATTGAGTCGGGGGACAGGAAGCCAGAGTATATTCACACACATTTAGCTTTTATCGAGGTCCCCCCCCCCCCCAAAGCCGAATTACTGACCCTTGCCCATGATGCAACCCCACAACCAGCTGACTAACTCCTGAGTACCTACTTACTGCTAGGTGAACAGAGGCATTAGGTGAAATGAAATGCACCCAACCATTTCTGTCCTGCCCAGGATTCAAACCCAGAATTCTCGATTGTGAGTCGAGAACAAACCTGACTGTACTACTGGTATCCTTTTTAAGCCTCACCCTTCTAGATTACCCTGGAATGCTACTCACCACTGGAATGGTGGTGTGGGGGGGGGGACTTGATATAAGCCTAACGTGTATGAATACACTCTGGGTTCCTGTCCCCCGACAAAATAACTTATTAATGAATTGTACAAACATACACATCAGAAAACTCTTGACACCTGGAGGATTCAAACGCGGTCAGCCAGGATCTCCATGCCCCTCAGCATGTCCAGTACTATAACCAGTTAGCCACAGACTGAACAAAAGTACAGTATTGGGAAGTCATCAGATTTACCCTAATACTTTGCAGCACTCGTGACTTTATTGGGCACAGATATTTGACTTCCCAATACTTTTGTACAGTATGTGGCCGAGTGGTTATAATACTGGACCTGTATGTGGGTTTCTGTGGTTATAATCCATTATACTTTTCCTCTATCCAAATTTGATCGATTATGCCCTCTTTTGATGTTAGCACAAGATCTAGAATGCTGTTACCTTGAATGGGCTGTCACATGCTGTATGAAAAATGAGTCCTGCACCAGGTCAAGATATTGCTTTCCTGTTTGTGATGTTAGATTTACCCGATCTATTGTCTCATGGTTAAAGTCCCCCATTATAAGAGTTGATGCAACATTGATCATATTATGCAGATTGGTAACTTCCTCTCTGTTGCTGTGTCTCACCTGAAGCATACTCTCACTGTCAGTTCGTACCTAGTCTTGAGCTAGTCTATAACTGTTATCTTGAGCTAGTATATTGCACCATACAGACTGAGGATCCCATGGTGGTCAGTTTCTCATTGGTGGTTGCATTCTGGTCCTCTTTCACATACAACATTACCCCACCTGCTCTTGTTGTTCTGTCCTTTTTGGAATGGTGGATGGTATCCTGGAAGGTTCGAATTTCCCTTCAATAATTTTCTCTCGTCCCCATGTTTCACTATGTCAATGATGTAATTCTCGGATTAGGTAATGTAATTTGCCCGAAGCACTGTGCATACTAGTGGCTTACACATTGTATATACTAGACTTGCTCTATCTTGAAATCCAACATTCTGCCTGTAACTCATTTTGTATGTACAGAGTACATGTATGTACTTTTCCCTAAATAAAACGGTCTTTGTCACCGTCATTGTCAGCCTCTGTGTATGCACACACACAGAGGCTATTTATTTACCAGGCTTCTGGCATTTATATAGAAGCAATTTAAACTTTTGACAGTGTTCCTATTGAGCTGAGAACTTTACTAATTTTTTTGGGGGGGCAATATTCACGATTTCACTATTTTCTTTGTCTCTTTTGGCTCTTTTTGCTGACTGTTGACTATATGAGGGCTTTATCACTTACATGAAGTATACTTAATATCCCCCAACCCATTATCCTTTTCCACATATTGTTTTTTTTGGGTGGTTAATTTTCTTTACTTCATTTCAACACACATTGACCCACAACTTTTACATACTCTAGTATGAATGCCATGCAATGTTTAATAAAACTTACAAGATGTTATAAATTCGAATTTCTACATTCATTGTCAAAAAACTTTAATTTTTCTGCATGAACATGATTTTCATCTTTGAGACAACATAGAGACTTCAATTTCAGAGCGAGTCTCACCATTTTTACATATTATGTGCAATATTCAGAGTGCTAAGGTTTCATTGCTGCCGTTTATTAATAAACCCATAACTGGGGGAATTACACATTTTTGGCATCTAAATTTTGTGCATATTTTGAAGGCCACATTGACAATTTGTGTTATAGTAAACTATATTCTCAAACTATATTTTAAAGCAATGAAAATTAATGTTATATGCCATTCTAAGCCCATAATGAATAAAATAAAAAAAATTGAAATTGAAAATTAGTTTAGTTGATTTGAAATTGTGAAATTGTCAACTTTAAAATATTTTTTTTTCCTGTTCATGTCATGATATTGGTCCATTAGAAAAAGTTGGAGCAATGTTAGCAGAACTTGCTACAGTCTTCAGAGGTACATAGGGGTACAGAGGTACATAGGGGTACATAGGTTCAGAGGTACACATTAAGAAGTCTCTTCCATCTACTATAACATAACAGAACATAACACAAGAGGCTGGACATTACACAACGACACGGATATAAGAACACAGGTCGGAAATAACAATATACAGCCTGGACACAACACCACAGTGTTCACTACTCTCATGATACTAAAGACTCTCCATATTTGCACAAAAGCATTGCCTTAAAAGCCACAATCGCAGAGTTTCTAGCATAATCCGGCGTCTAGAAAGTTTTAGTGGTGGTGTTATGGCCGTGTGGATCAAATATAATGTTGCCCTACACCTGACAGGGCCAATTACCTCAAGAAAATCCTTCAGTCAGCCTGTTGTCGTTGACGGGAGTCTATGACTCATTCTTCCTAACGGCACTTGAGGCTATTTTATGCCATATATCCACAGTTCTTTAATGAGTCACTTATATACTTGTATTTCAAGTGCTCAGTATCAGAAAATACTACTTACTTATTGACTTAATTGAATTAATGGTTAAATATTAGATTCTCAGTTGACACAGGAGAGCGATCTCATATAGTCGTTCAGGAGCTAATATCCGGATTACCGGTGACGGCATTGTTTTCCTTAAACACAACATTAAATTTACCTGAATTTATCCTAGTTTACCTGAGAACCACTAACACCAATGGCCTCAACGAGGACAGGAAGCCGGCAGTTTGTCAAAGGTGTTCCCCCCTCATCCCCTCATTTGCCTTAATGATCTTTTCCAGCTGTACCTTAAAAGTTTGCATTGTTTTTGTATTTACACTATCCATATGGATGTATTAATTTGATGCATCACGCTATTGTGATTTCTGTGTGTAATGAAATAAGGGTGAAGAGATGGTAACAGCTTGTTGACAGAGCCCGGGTGCATGGGGGAATTCTGTAAAACCCTTGTTTTACGGTAAAAAATTATGTAGAGTGGTCGTGGTTTTCTATACAGCTTTTCAGGTAAACTAATAAACAATATTTTGGCGCGATTCTGGCATTTAAGTATTTATGTACTAAGCCGGTAGTCAGGATTGTACTTATTACATTTAGTATTAAAACACAGGCTGACAGGCTCCAATATGTTTCTGTGAATAATACAATTTCTCCCACCCTACCCATCAACATTGGTGTTCCTCAGGGCAGCATACTTGGCCCTCTCCTCTTTCTCATCTACATTAATGACCTTCCAAATGCCTCCCAACACCTCAAACCTATTCTATTTGCTGACGACACAACCTTCATTTACTCCAGTCCTGACCCTCTTGCTCTAAATGCCACAGTAAATACTGAGCTAAATAAAGTCCATCTTTGGCTAACTGCCAACAAACTCACCCTTAACATTGACAAAACTTTCTATATTCTGTTTGGCAATAAATCCTCTAGTCAAATAAATCTCAAAATAAACAATACCCAAATTTGTAACAAATTAGATGGCAAATTCCTTGGTATTCTCATTGACCACAAGCTGAATTTCCAGGGACACATTCTAAATATATCAAAAAAAAGTTTCAAAAACTGTGGGCATTCTTTAAGATCAGATATTATGTACCACGCCCTGCCCTGGTGACTCTCTATTACTCCCTTATCTATCCATATCTCAACTATGGTATTTGTGCTTGGGGTTCTACTACCCAAAATCACTTACGTCCTCTAATTACCCAACACAAAGCTGCTATTAGAACAATATCCAACTCTGGCCCCAGACATCACTCGGTACCCCTTCTCAAATCTCTGAATATGTTAGACATTAAGTCACTGCACATTCTCTCATGTGTATTATACATATATAAAACGCTAAACTATAATGCCAATCCTGATCTCAAAAGCTTCATAGAAGGTTGTAACAGAACCCATGAGCACCACACCAGAAATAAACACAGTTTTGATATTCCTAGAGTACGACTTAATCAAACTAGAAATGCTCTACAAATCAAGGGGCCCAGAATGTGGAATGACCTTCCCAACCATGTTAAAGACTGTACCTCTCTCAACCAGTTTAAGTTTAAGATAAAAACTAAACACTACCTAATAAATTCCCTGTAACCTACCTCACTCCTCTATTGTCAACCCATGTCTGTTATTTTCTTTTTTTAATCAACACTGTCAACCTATTGTATTTGTGCTGCTTTTTCAGTCATGTTCCCCCTTTTTTTTATCTTTATTTGTATTTGTTCTCAACACTTTTTATTCTTTATGCTCAATTAGTATTAAGTTCTAGATATTAATGTTTTTCTTGCCCGAAACGCATCGCGTAATAGTGGCTTTAGGCATTGTATGTACTAGCTCTATCTATATATCAATCCATTAATGTAACATCACTTGTATGTATATACCTTACCTGAATAAATATATTTATTATTTATATTTATATTTATAAAACGTAGTGTTTATTCAGAGGAGGAGCTGCTGGGTTCACGTCTCGCTCGACCATCTCCCTCCCACCCCACATGCCCAACACTTTTCAATACATTTCGCCCAAGAAATTTCTTAATTAACCTATTAAAATTAATTTTTCGAAAATCTGGCACTTTAGCAGAATTTTCCCCTATAAATCTATTCCATTCTATACTACCGAGTTCTTTGTGATCACTGTTCCATAGCTCACGCCCTATTTCGAGGTCAGTTTGTGTTGCCCTGTTAACACTAAATCTAAAATACTATTTTCCCGCGTTGGTTCCTTATGTTGCCTAAGAAAGCAATTGTCAATTTCCAGTTATCTTTTGCTTCATTATTCTTAGTTCTGTTAAACCAGTTTATTCCACCAAGATTAAAGTCACGCATGAGAAATATTGTTAGACCTAGATGTTCTAGATATTTTATCCCATAGATGCTTTGCTTCCATTCTATCTAAGTTTGGTGGTCTGTATAATGTACTGTAATTATCAAAAAGAAGGTCTGTATAGAACTTAAAATTATTTGTTTTTAAGTCTAGCCAAATAGTTTGCTGTGTGGCTTAGTTTCGAGTCCCTCTTTGAGAATACATTTCAAATTTTCCCTAACAGGGCTACTCCCCTCCCCCCTTTTCTAATATACCTAAAATAGTTTAAAACCATTTATTTGATATTCAGCCAATAGTTCTCCATTATATTCATCCATGTATACAGACGACTTCCTGTTTGATAAATAACCTCTGATCCAAAAAAGAAATCTATCACCAGTATTCATTCTTGAAAGCTCACTTAAGATAACATGTCGATTTGCAATAGCAAAGGCAGACTCGAGATCTAGGAAGGTGGTAAATGACTTTTCATGGTTAAGGATAAGTCAGGGTAAGAAAGGTGGTGATGCACACTAAGATACTAAACCGGTGCCCACTCAGGCAGGGAGGAGCTGTCCGCAAGGTGCAACTGTGTGAAGGCTTCCAGCTTGACTATGTTAACACAGTCAAATAATTTGGCCTCGAGGTGCCACTGTATGGTCCTGTTGAATTCAGACTCGTCAGTATAAAGTGGCTCAGAGCTCTCAAGGCTGTTGCAGGTTATCACTCAGGCTATGGTGCCAATGTCAGTTGTCAAAATTATGTATCGTATACATTAGATCTTTAGTGGATTATGCTGCACCTCTGCTTCCTTTGATGCCTGGAAGAAAGCTTGTAGGGCTTTAAAAATAGCAGAACGAAGCCTTGAGGATAATCCTTGGGCGACCTCGTACCACAAAAATACTCAATACGAGACGGGAACTTAATATTCCGAGCGTCGTTGATCGTGTTACTGAAATTAATACGTCAAATTTGTATAAAATTACTTAGACTAGTTCATCCTAACCCTTGTACAGAAGGGCTTCAAAATTCCTTTATTGAAGGTAAACATTGTTTCAAATGGTTAACTAAAACGAACTGAACTCTGAATGTATTATTTTATAATGTTTACCAAGAGACCACGGCTTTTTCCTGCACCGTGGGAGATTACACCCTTTCCAATTTTAATTCCTCCCTTTCCACCCAAGAAGCAAATTAGAAATCAGCTCTAGCTTCGTTTTGAGAAGAAAATCAACGCCTTTAGCTATATTGATGCTCTGTCCACAGCATTCTTTCTCAAATTATACACCGATTGTTCCCTACACCGCCCCACGGGTGCAGCTGGAAGTGCAGTTGTCCCGACAATGGATTATATTTCGAGATGGAGTCAGTCTAAACAACTGGGATTCTACCCTTCACACCGAACTATTTTTCTTGCTTCTTGCACCGAAATGTGTACAAGTCTCCAAACTTTATGCAATTAATTTTGACTATCATCCTTAATTGCTCTCAACCAAGACATAACTAACATGCTCGTGTTTAAAGCTAGACAAATACAACAAAATTATTAATGATGGTAACAATCCATTTCATGTGGACTTCATCTCAAGTTGGTCTCCAAATGCATGATGGAGCTGATGAATTAGCCAAAGAATAGTGTAGCAAAGAACGGGTAGCCAACACACCGGCAGCACGTCTCAGCAGTCGAACACTACTGTCGTCTCTCAACTCCTCTTGACCAAATCCCAGGTACGTCGGTCCATACAACACTATAAGAGTCCATCAGCTAACACACTGTTACTTCCAACGACGGCCACGTTGTCCTCTCATATGATCAAGTCGGGAGTTCCCAAGGTGAAATGCTTGCCTCAGCGCAACTAATCGCCTCCTCACGTCACCTCTGTAAACATTAACGTCATTAGCTAGACAGACAGTATACTGGGTGACCTTAGGATAACACCCTTCCACCGGGGGGGGACTGAAATTGTAATTGCATTCACAACCTAGATGGCGTTGATATTGTTACCCCACCCACCAGAGGTCAGTATCATAGACCTCGCCTCCTAAGTGAGGTATGAAACAGGAGCCTTTCACCGACTCCACCACACCACCAACAGATGACGTTATCTGTCTCTCGCCTAATACTTGGGAGTTGGAGTGCAGGTCTATAGATGGCGCCAAAATACCCACTTCCCACTCCGGCGATGTTGATACCGTAACACTGCCTTTGAAGCTGATAAGTTAGCCAAAGAATCTGCCTTTAAAGGAGACGTTGAGTGTAACCTTGGATTGTCAATGAGCAATCTGAGAGCAGCAGTACACCGAGAACTTTAACAAGATCTTGTAGATCTGAGGCAAAGTTACAAATAATTTTGTAACTAGCTCATCAAGATTGTAACTTGCTTAGCTAAATGAATTGTGGGGTTCAGTCCCTGAGCCCATTATGTGCCTCTGTAACCCTTTCCACTACCGCCCACAAGATGGGTATGGGGGCATAATAAATGAACTAAACTAAAAAAGTAATGGGATTTTAACTATCTTTCTAGCGCGAACACTGATATAATGTATTAATTCAAAGTGTTTGGTGCCCTTTTATCGTCCATTATAACTTGGTTAGTGTCATCTTTTAAAGGTTCGAGTCCTTTGTTTTGGTTGTACTACTTATACTGTATAGGCATAGGACGACTGTATATACTGGTCATCAATATTACTGGGCGGCTGTATATACTGGTCATCAATATTACTGGGCGGCTGTATATACTGGTCATCAATATTACTGGGCGGCTGTATATACTGGTCATCAATATTACTGGGCGGCTGTATATACTGGTCATCAATATTACTGGGCGGCTGTATATACTGGTCATCAATATTACTGGGCGGCTGTATATACTGGTCATTAATATATCTTATAACCAATAATGTGCCCTTTTATATCTCATAATGATGAGCATTATTGGAGAGAAGGGACTTTATTTATCTTAATTTATCCCAGGGCCATTACAGGGTAGTGGCCTCGACAAGGACAGGAAGCCGGCGGTTTGTCAAACGTCCCTTCAATTTGTCCTGATAATTTTATCAAACTGGATTTTGAAATTCAACTATTTTTCGTATTTACGGCTTCGGTGAGTAGGCGCTTCGAAGGGTTCATAACCCTATGGGTGAAAAAGCATTTAATGTGGTTTGTTGAACTTGAAACTGTTGGTCCTAGTTCCTGTTACATCTGACCATTTGAAGAAATAGCCTGGATCAGTATCCTACAAATTATTCAGTATTTTAAAAGTTTCGGTGAGATCAGCCCTGTCATGCCTGGTTTGCAGTGTTGTTAACTCTGTGGCCCTCAACCGCTCCTGGTAAGAGACTTTGACTTTGTTCTGAATGATTTTTGTTGCTCAGTGTCGAACTTTCTTTAAAGCAGATATGTCTTTCTGAAGATCAGGCCTCAATCTTGGATAATCCAGGTGAATGCACCAGAGACTTTGTACAGCTGCATAATCGCTTTCTTTTCCTTTAAGTCAAAGGTTCGTTTGATTATTCCTAGGATTTGGTTGGGTGTAGGAGGAGAGGGATGGTGTAGGAGGAGAGGGATGGTGTAGGAGGAGAGGGATGGTGTAGGAGGAGAGAGGTGCTGTAGGAGGAGAGAGGTGCTGTACTCACCTAGTTGTGCTTGTCCCCATGTACGTGTACCACCCGTGTAAAATAATTCATCCTTGTCTACCCTGTCAATTCCCGAGAATTTTGTATATGGTGATCATGTCTCCCCGAGCTCTTCTGTCTTCCAGCGACGTGAGGTGAAGTTCACCCAGCCTTTCCTCGTAACTCATGCCTCTTAGTCCTGGGACTAGCCTGGTGGCATACCTTTGAACTTTTTCCAGCTTCGTCTTGTGTTTGACAAAGTACGGGCTCAATGCTGTGGCCGCATATTCCAGAATTGGCTTTACATACGTGGTATACAAGGTTCTGAAGGATTCCTTACACACGTTTCTGAAGGCAGTTCTGTTGTTAGCCAGCCTCGCATATGCCGAAGATGTTATTCTTTTGATGTGGGTTTTAGACGACAGGTTTGGTGTGATATTAACTCCTGGATCTTTCTCCTTGTCCGTTTCGTGCAGGACTTCATCTCCCATTCGATATTCAGTGTCTAGCCTCCTATTTCCTCCACCTATAGTTTCATTACCTTACATTTACTTGGATTGAACTTTAGTAGCCATTTGTTGGACCATTCCTTCAGCTTGTTTAGGTAATCTTGTAGCCTCATAATATCTTCCACTGTCTTAATCCTCCTCATAATTTTTACATCATCAGCAAACATTGAGAGGAACGAGTCTATTCCCTCTGGGAGATCATTTACATATATCAGGAATAGTATAGGTCCAAGAACTGATCCCTGAGGGACTCCACTGGTGACGCCTCGCCACTCAGAGACCTCACCCCTCACTGTGACTCCCTTATCCAGTGTCAAAGACTGTACTGTGTCAAAGGCTTTCTGGCAATCCAAAAAATATACAATCAGCCTACCCTTCTCTTTTGTTGCCTGGTCACAGAATTCAATTAATTCTGTGAGGCATATGATCTGTCATCCCTGAACCCATGCTAATGTTGTGATACAAAGTTCTTCTGCTCAGATGTTCCACTAGCTTTTTTCGCACAATCTTCTCCATCAACTTGCATGGTATGCAAGTTAATGACACTGGCCTATAGTTCAGTGCCTCCTGTCTATCACCCTACTTGAATATCGGGACTACATTAGCCGTCTTCCAAATTTTCGGAAGTTCACCTGTTACCAGTGATTTGTTATACACCATGGAGAGTGATAGGCACAGTGCTTCTTCGCCTTCCTTTAGTAGGAGGTGGGAGATATAGCACTTCCCAAGCTATATCTGTTAGGAATTTCCTTATCTCCTTGTGGTTTTCCTCTCGGAATGCCAGCCTTTTGTTTTCTGGGCCCTTCTTTGAATACATTAACCCTTCTTCGACTAGATACTCAAACATTAGTACACTGTGATCGCTTATTCCCGCGTGGGCTTCGAAGCCGATTTCCCTTATGTTGGAGTCATTCAGAGTGAAGACTAGGTATTAGTCTCGTTGGTTCATCGTTGCCTATCATTCTTGTGGGACCCCTGACATGCTGACTTAGAAAGTTTCTTGTCGCCACATCCAAATCAGCGTTGATTTGCCAACAGTTTAGCTATCCATGTTTCCTCACCTCCATGTGGTTCCTCGTTTTCCCAGTCTATCCTTCCGTGATTGAAATCTCCCATGATGAGCAGATGGGACTTGTTTTCTACAGGCAACAGTGGCGGCTCTCTCAATTATAGTGTTGACCGGCATGTTGTTTCTGTCATACTCTTATACGCTGTAGGAGAGGGTAGTGTAGAAGGAGAAGGGTGGTGATGGAGGAGAGGGGTGGTGTAGATGGAAAGAGGTGCTGTAGAAGAGGGGTGGTGTAGGAGACGGGTGTTTAATAAGAGTAGAGAGGTGGTATAGTGGGTGTGTCGACTGCCACAACAGACATGAGTCTACCTATAGTCCCCGGTGGCCTCTAGCAATGATCACGGTCGCCGCACCACCCTCCGCCACCTACCCTAGTCCCAACCCCTGACACACAAACACATATTAATACCAACCAACACTCTTCACATATTTCCCAACCAAGTTGTATGAAATACTAATACAAAATATATAAGATACTAAAATGTTTTTCAAGTTGCACTTATTTGTTGTATTTATTTTGGATGAATCAGGTGGTCAGAAGTTACCGAGAACCGTAATGACAAGTTTAAATGACCCAATATAAAATATACGCCATATGTTATTACAATGAAGAATATAGTTTCAGTCATACAATTAATGATATTCGTGTGTGAGAAAGAGGAAAACATTTACTGTTATAGCATAATTTGCATAGAGACGGTAATTTGGTGAAGATATCAGAGCGAGTGTATCGATCCGCGTTAAAAAGATTTGCCAGAGCTGTTAGCTCGAGGTGTCGTCCCGGGCGTTGCAAGTACTCTCATAACCCGGGAATACAACGCTCACCACCCACTGATTAAAGCTACAGTGTAACCCAGTGAAGTTTGTGAGCTCTTAGAGCCGGAAAATGTTGTGTGTGAGGAAGTGTTGAGGCGGAGATGAGGTGAAGTTTGTGTTGTGTGCGGGCGGCGGCGGCGGCTAGCTGGCGGACAGTTACATGCTGGTTATACTGGAGCCTGGGAGCTGCCGCAGGTTGGCTGAGCGAGGCTGAGGCAGGCGCAGGAGGCCGTCATGCAGAAGGGGGAGAGGCGTGAGCGAGGGGGGGCCACGAAGGATGAGCAGGATCCGGCGTCGAGGCGGGTGTCGAGGGCGAGCACCGCCAACAGGACGGGCACCACCATGCAGCCTGGCTCTAGGACCTCCTCCTCCTCCAACTCCCTCGAGCTCTTCGTCGGGCCCAACTTCAGGGTCGGCAAGAAGATTGGCTGCGGCAACTTCGGCGAGCTGAGACTAGGTGAGTACGGCACTGATGTAGGTAGCTCTTGTAGGTTGCTGCTGCTGCTGCTGCTGTGGCCCAATGTTGTTGAAGCCCTGATGTTGCGCTTGTAGGTGGTGGGGGCACAGCCAGGTTGGTGGCACTGGTCTGGCTCCAGTATTATCCTACTGGGGACACTCATTGTTGGTACTCGCCTAGCTGTTCTTGCGGGGGTTGGGCTCTGGCTCTTTGGTCCTGCCTCTCAACTGTCAATCAACTGGTGTACAGATTCCTGAACCTATCGGGCTCTATCATATCTACACTTGAAACTGGTGGAGGGGCCAGCCTCCACCACATCACTTCCTAAGGCATTCCATTTGTTAACTATTGACACTGAAATTTTTTTTAATATTTCTGTGGCTCACTTGGGTACTTGGGTGTGACCCCTTGTCTTTCAGGGGTGTGAAGTTTAGCTCCCATAACCTTTCTTCGTAATTCGTACCTCTTAGTTCTGTGACTAGTCTGGTGGTATACCTCTGAATCTTTTCTAACTTTGGCTTGTGTTTAACTAGGTATGGACTCCAGGCTGGAGCTACGTACTCTAGGACTGGTCTGACAGTGGTATACAAAGTTCTGAATGATTCTTACACAAGTTTCTAAAGGCAGTTCTGATGTTGGCCAATCTAGCATATGCCACTGGTATTCTTTTGATGTAAGCTTCTGGGGACAGGTTCAGTGTGATGTGAACCCTGTACTGGGGACATGTCCGGGTTGGTAGTGAGCGGCTGGTGTGGCTCCAGTAGATATTGGGGGACACTGTTGGTAATGAGGCACTGATGTGGCTCCAGTTGTTACTGGGGGTTTCCCATATTGGTGCATTGTACACTCCCTCTTATTGGTAGCTCGTCTTTGACTGTTGAGTTATCGTCTAGTACAAGATATTGCAGAGAAATTGTGGAAGGTGGAGTGATTAGGTGGTTTTTCTAGCAGTTGTCATTTAAGTAAGCTGTGGTAGGTTCAGAGGGGTCAGGTACTTGCCTAATAGTTTTCATGAAATGCTGGACCAAGCAAGCTGTGGTGGATATGTGGGCCTGCGGGTTGCTCCAAGCAACATCCTGTTGGACCAATCTCTCAGAAAGCCTAGTCTGGCCTGGGGAGTAGGAACAACTCTCAGAACCCCATCCAGCAGGTAATTATGCTTGTGGGGGTTGAGCTTTGGCTTGTAGTACTGCCTCTTGACAGTTAATCAACAGGTGTACAGGTTTCTGAGCTATGATCACCATTTGTCCGTATTTTTCAGGACATGTCCTAAATTCAGGTGTCAAATTTGCATCCTGAAAGAATTTAATTAATTCTTCAAAAAGTGTGGCATTTCAGCTTCCATTACTTAAAAAATGATTTACTGTTTTCATCAGCTAGTAAGTGTTGCCTACTGGACTGGTTTAGTGTTGTATGCTATTTACATAATGCTGTTGTAGCCATATAATAACTAGTAATTGCATACAATTATTGACATTTGTTATTATCTTGCACTATTGCATTTTCAGTATAATACTGAATAATATAGCCACCTTCGCTATATTATTTACATGTACAGTATTGACAAAATAATACTACCAGTGATGGTGGTAACATGGTTGCCCAGCCAGCTAGTCCTTAGTCCAGTGTTGAACCAGCTCTGATCTTGTTGGTTTGTTTGTGGGGACATTACTACGTGCTATTTGTAATTTGTTGCAGTTTTACCAAACATAAAAGCCCTGACACTGTCCAAACAGAAAAGTAAATTCACTGCCAAGATCCAGAACAAAACTTCTGTGCTTTAAGAGAGGCAGGGATGAATGGGAAGCAGTGTGTTTGGTGTAGATATAGGAAATGTATGTCTCTGTGGCATACAGAGGTATTGGTAATTTACACACATGTGAACTCTGGAAAACACACAAGATCAGCACAAGGAGAGAGCTCATAAATAAAACTGATGGAATATTTTATCAAACCAGGGAATAAAATGGAAGATGCTGTCACTGCTGCAGAAGATACTTGTGCATTTCACACTGTTAAACATTACAATAGTATTTTATCCATGAACTTGTGCTGAAAAAGACTGATGCTAAGGTGACAAAGAAGTTTTCTAGTGCTTGAACAAAGACATAATCAATTGTTACATCTATGCATGCATTGCATTCTGTTGTTGCCATGAAAAGTCTAGAAGAAAATGAGATTGCATACTGTTTAATTGCTACAGGAAGAAGCAATAGATACATTAAAGCTATTTCCTTCAATTATTCAGTATTTTGATTGGAAGAATGTTGATTTACAGTAGAGACTGATTGAGTTTAAGATCAAGCCTAATGAAACTGTACACATAAAAGAATCTACATAAAAGAAACCCCTAGAAAAAATGGACTCTGAAAAGTGTGTGGCATTCACAGGTGACAACTGGAATACAATGTTTGGAGGACTCAAGCTTGAGAAAGAAGGGAATAATGTTTTTTGCAACATTTTCTTAAAATTTGAAAGAGTATTAATTGGAGTGGGTTGCCCAGCACACATTTTAAGCAACTGTATCCATCATGGAGCAGAAAGAATGAATCTTGATATTGAAAATATAATCATTAAAATTTATCAGTATTTTCATATCTACACAGTTTGAAGTGAGCAGCTGAAGGAGTACTGAGAGTTTGCCGAGGTTGACAGAAGGCTCCTCTCTCATAGACTCACTGGCTGTCACTATTTCCTGGCACACAGCTGATACAGATGTTTCCTGCATTTAAATCCTTTCTCTTGCAAGAATGCTCACCCACATCAATTAAACAATTATTTTGAGAATAACTTGTGCAACACCCTTTTATAGGGGACTTTTATCAAAAGCTTTCCACCAATCCAAAAAAATAGTCTGCCCACCCTGTGGTTTCTTGCTTAATGCTTGTTGCTTGGTCATAGCATTATTAAAGCTATTAATTATTAAATCTGTAAGGCAAGGGCCCATCCCTGAACCCATGCTGGTAGGTGTTAAGCCTCTTCTCGTGAACTTCTCCATCACCTTACATGGTATGGACGTTAAGGACATGAGCCTGTAGTTTAGGGCCTCCTTCCTATCACCCTTTTTGTATACAGTATTGGGACTACATTAACTGTCTTCAAAGTTTCTGGTAGGTCTCCTGTTTCCAGTGACGTTATACACCACAGAAAGTGGCAAAATATTGCTGGAACAAAGGTGGATGTATTCAAGAGGCAATTAGATAAGTTTTTGCAAGAAGTGCTGGACCAACCAGGTTGTAGTGAATGTGGGCCTGCAGGCCGGGACTGTTGGACGAAGTCATCACAAGTCGAGCCTGGCCTCAGGCTGGGCTCGGGGAGAAGAAGAACTCTCGGGACCTTCTCCAGGTATGCATGCAAAGTGCTTCTGCCCCCCCCCCCCCTTTTTTTTTTCATCCATGGTGAGATTCAATAAAGTGCAACAGCCTTAGTCATGTCCAGATCTAGCAGATGCCTCCTAACCTCATCTCTGGTAATTTCAATAGCCTCCAAAGTTGTTTAATATGTTGCAACTCCCCTCTTAGTTTCCTAATGTGGCTGTAAAGCAGTTTTAGTTGGGTCTTGGCTTTATTTGCCATGTTGTTTTCAGTGCCTCTGCTTCTGTTCTTACACCAAGTAAGAACACGACCTCTCAAACACTGAGGGGTCAGCCAGTTATGCCCCTTATGTGTAGTGGAAGCATTTTGAACAGTCATGGGCCCTCTGATATTGCTAAGAGTTCTCTCTGAGTATCTATTGCACCTCTGCTTTTTAACGGGAGTATTCTGCACATCCTGCCATGCTTTCTGGTCTCGTGTGATATTTCTGTTTGCAGATTTAGAACCAGCCCCTCTAATATTTTTTCATGTGTAAATTATGTATTTCTCTCGCCTGTGCTCGAGAGAATACAGATTTAGGCACTATAGTCGGTCCTAATAGTTTAGGTGTTTTTGAGTGGATTCCAGTCGTAAAGGATCTCTGCACGCTCTCCAGGTCAGCAATTTCTCCAGCTTTAAAAGAGGCTGTCGTTGTGCAACAGTATTCCACTCTAGAGAGCACTACTAGCATCTTGAAAAGTATCATCACTGGTATAGCGTATCTAGTTTGAAAGGTTCTTGTTATCCAACCTGCCAGTTTTTCTTGCAGTTGTGATGGCCACTTTGTGTTCTTTAACGGTAAGGTCTTCCGACATGAGTACAGGTACTGTACTGTACATCCAAATTCTTTACAATGCTTTTTCGTTCTATGGTATGATTTGACTGCGTTTTGTACATGGTTTGGTTTAATTTTTTCATTTTTTCCCTTAGTGCATAAGCTGGAACTTATCTTTTATTAAATACCATATTTTTTCTGTAGCCCATTGAAAGACCTGATTTTACATCTGATTTGGATGGTTTGTCGGCCTCCCGGTTGGTCGTTTGGTCAACCAGACTGATGCGGTTGCTCGCAGCCTGACATAAATCACAGCCTGATTGATCAGGTATTCTTTGGAGATGTTTGTCTTCTTCTCTCTTGAACACAGAGATGCTGGCAAGTTATACTCGTTACGTGTAGCAAGTGTGTGTTGAAAAGTCTTGGGCCCTGGATGTTGATAGTTCTCCCCTCAGCGTACCTATTGCGCTTCTGCTTTTCAGTGAGGGTAATTTGCACATCCTGCCATGCCTACTGGTCTCATGTGATGTTAGTTCTGTGTTCAGATTTGGAACCAGTCCCTCTAATATTTTCCACGTATAGATTATTATCTATCTCGCCTGCACCCTAGAAAATACCGATTTAGAACTTTTAATCGATCCCAGTAATTAAGATGACTTGTAGAGTAGATTCTAGGTAAAGGACCTTTGCATGCTCTCAGTAATTTCCCCAGTTCTGAATAGAGCTGTTAAAGTGCAACAATATTCCACCCTAGAGAGCACCAGTGTCTTTGAAGTATCATCGTTGGTTTAGCAACCCTTGTTTGGAAGGTTATTTTTCTTGCAGTCGTGACGGCTACTTTATTGTGTTCTGTAAAGGTAAGGTCTTTTGACATGATTACCCCTAGGTCCTTTACATTGCTTTTTCGTTCTATTTGATTTGATTTGATTCCATTTCATACTGTATGTGGTTTCCGTTCTTAAATTTTCATTGTTTCCATAGTGCAGGTGCTAGAATTTTTCATTAAAACATCATATTATCTGTGGCCCATTGAAAGACCCGATTTACATCCGATTGGAGGTTTGCCGTGTCCTCTATATATTGTCTACTTGCATGAATGTTATAGTACATCTGCAAATGATAATGATGTAGTTTGTATCCTCATCTGTCTGATATTAGGATGAGAAAAAGTACTGGAGCAAGTACAGTACATTGGGGGACTGGGACTCTTGAAGCATTGGTTTAATGCTACATTATGTAGTTGTTCTTTCCAGCATTGTTTTGTGAGGTCTTGGTTTGTTCGTTCCCAATTAATCAGTTTATTAAAATTGAATTTGCTGAATTTTCCTCTTGGATTTGAGACTGGCTGCATAGGGTCTATTGCCCATGCTAGTCTGAACTTTGATCAGGTTTGATCCAAGTAACGAGTACATTGGTACTTTTTTTTTTTTAATTTAATCCATTCCCAGAGGCGGTTCGAAAACCGAAACAAAATTTCCTATAAGAAATAATGTAAATTGAATTAATCCGTTCCACACCCCAAAAAATATTAACTTAAAAAATACATTATATACCGAAAACTACTCATAGGTACCTTACCTTTATTGAGGACTCTTGTTGGCATACGGAAGACGGTGAGGAGGAGAGGTGTTGGTGTTTAGACGGGGAGTCGATGCTTTCATTATAATATCAGGTGACTGATGAATTTTCTTGTACTCTCTCCTACATTTTGCAGGCATACCACTAGTACTGTACCTGGTTGTGGCTCGCTGCTTGCTTGTCTTACTAAGAATCTCTCTAAGGTCACTTTTTTTCCCCTACATTTTTAACACTTGTCTATAGTGAGACATCACATTGTCTTTAAAAAGGTCAATGCAACGGCCTGCTACAGCTTTATCTGGGAGAGTCTTTTCAGCAAATCTTTGGCATTCTTCCCATACTTCATACATTTTTTTTTAACCCTTATGCTGCTCTCCTCCCACCATACTATTTTTGGTTTTATTCACTATATACAGATGTTATATACAAGTATCTAAATGTTTTGTTTACCATAACTGTACAAATAAGCTGGTATGGTGAATTCAGACAATAAGAGGTCACCACACAATCAGCTGTTGCTTCCCTCCCTCCCTCCCTCGCTCATTCAAGGCCAGACACACTAACATTCCTCCCCAACCATACTGTTTGTGGCATTATTACATTATATACACACATTATATACAAGTATCTACATGTTTTATTCACAATAACTGTTAAAGTAAGCTGGTATGGTTCCCAAAGCAGAGTGGCCACCCTATACAGCTTGACAAGTTCACCATAGAGAACCACTGAGCTGATAATGGTGAGTGCAGACAACAACAGGTGGCCACACAGAAGTGCGTAGTATTGTGGGAGGAATAATGCTGATCGAGGAAGGTAGCATCGTCTGCTGACTATGTAATTCGCTTATCGTCTGCTGACTGTGTAATTCACTTAGGTAATTACACAGTCAGCAGACGATGCTACCTCCCTCGATCAGCATTACTCCTCGCACAATACTATGCACAGCTCTAATTATCACAACAATCCTGCTATTAGAATCCTGGTAATTTTTATCACGGGGATCTTCTGTAATATTATCATCGCTAAATAATAGCAGTTACATATATACTGTATTTTGTAATTTTTAGGCAATGCTGTGGCCACAAGGTGAACAGCAGTGCTCATGCTGCGTGCACCAGCCTTGGCTGCTCACTCAGTACTGTGGCTCTCACACCTGAGGATGTTGCCCATGATTTATTTTTAAATAGGGTCTGTTTACAAGAGCCCTGAGGTAGCTGATGCGAACCCCGTGTAGCTGCGAGACATTTAAATCGTGTGGGGGACCCTCGATCGCCTATGTGTGATGAGCGCATTGCGGTGCAGGTTACTCCCATCGCCTATGTGAGTATTGCGCAGCTAAAGGGTTAATGAGGAAGGGGCATCCTCTACTGTCTCTACTCATAACTATTTTCTTAGGTTGAACTTTACCATCAACTTTCTTGGGACCCATGGCGTGGTGTATAATAATTTTATGTTCAGAAACCAAAAAAAGCACAAACAATGTAGTTTTTCGCACAGAATTCATGAGTTGTCATCGCTGGGGCAGAAGACTGGTAAACTGAGGCGTGCCTTGCCACGTGCCGCACGCTCGGTGGACCCATATGTGTATAAACAAATTAAGAGTACCAAGGCAAACCTTGAATACGAAGTCAAATTTTTGGAAGAAATTGAACTCGAGAACCAAAAATTTGAAGAGGGGGGCATTCGAAGACCAAGGTGCCACTGTAGTTGTAATCGTTATAATCCTGATTAACTCATTGTTGTTTGTAAAAATAAAGTCTAGGATGTTTTCTTTCCTAGTCGGCTCTACTATTTGCTGGTTTAAAGCTAATGTCACACATCTGCAAGAGGTCATTTGTGTGATTGCTCATTTAGACTGCTTCCAGGGATTCTCTGTTCTATAATAGTATTTGCCACCATCAAATAGGTGATGTAGTCCATCATGTCTTGTTACAGATTTTTCTCCAAGCTGTTTCCCATGGTATTCTTATTATAAATTTTCTTCTTCATAGTTTCCCTTAGGTATACCAGCCTTTTGCTTCTCAGTCCTTTCCTCTGGTAAGTTATTCCTACTTCCCACCAGCTGCTCAAATGTTAGTTCTCTGTGGTCACTCATTCCTGTGGGAATTCTGATTTGACATCTGTTATGTCTGACATGTTCAGGGTGAATATCAGATAAAGTCTGGCTGGTTCATCATTATCTCATTCTTATGGGCCATTTGACATGTTGGCTTAGTCTAGGCATCACGTCTAATATTTTAGCTCGCCTTGTTGCTGTCTCTAGGAGAGTCCCTCCTTGTGATAAACTAGGTATTGGACTCCAGGCAGAGGCTGCATAATCCATGTTTGGTCTGACATATGCGGTATACAAGGTTCTCAGTGATTTCTTGCACAAGTTTAAGTTCTTATATTGGTGCACCGCTGGTGGGTGCGTGGCACTCCGTGGTGGTGCACCACATCTTGGTGGTGCACTGGTGTGTGGCATTCCTCGGTGATGCTTTATCTACATCAGCCAGATAAAGGTTTTTGAGTAGGAGTATGAAGCATTAATATTGTCAAATGTCATAGAAAACCACTAGCATAAAGAGAACACGTTTTGGTTCATTTGGCATGTGCCCTGTACCTATCTTGTGGGTGTGGGCTCCATAACCATCTTACAACTGCTGGTGGGAAAGTTATACAGGCACGTAATAGGCTCGAGAACCAAACCCTAATAATTTAGTCAAGTTAAATCATTGAACTACAATAGTTAGTCTAACATGTACAGGGTGTTTATAAAGTCTGTGTGCAACTTGAAATACTGTACTGTATATTACAAGAAACAGTTCATTGTTTCTAGTTAATTTTTAATTTAGTATTTTTTAATTTCAGGAAAGAATTTGTACAACAATGAGCACGTCGCTATCAAGTTGGTAAGTAGTCTATCCTTAATGACTGCTGTATTTGCAGATGTCACAATAATATAGCTGGAGTTGACGCCCAACCTCCACATCTAAAAATGATCTATGATGTTTTGGTCTGTCATGGACCATTATCAAGTCAAGTCATTTATTTAATTGATGACTTGATGGACCAAGGGAGACCTAAACATTGTCAGTTCTTCATTTTAAGATGGGTGGGTTGGGTGTCATGTATGTATTTATTAAATATCTTGTCATAATGGCAGCCTAATGCTAATACATTAGATGGTATGTAGATACTACTGTATTTCTTAATTTGTTACTTTATTTTTTAAAAGTAGATAAAGCTCTGGATACATGGACTTCATTCATTAACTTCTATTGAAGATTGTGTGTTTCAGTAATGTGTGTGATTGAGTGACCTTACAAGGAGTGGTTTATAAATACAATGGTGCTAAGCGTCTCAAGAATTACAAAGTGTGCTTTACCTTTGCTGAAATCTACTTTGAGGTTATTCTAAAAATAAGTGTGTGCTGGTCAGGCTCAGACCAGGCCTTGTTGTTGGTCTGATCGACCAAGCTGTAGGTCATTGTGGTTTAATCCTATATAGCAGCCACAGTCCAGTTGATCTCGGGTATCCTTTAAAGATGTTTGATGAAGTTTCATGTTAAACAGTTACATTTAGTAATTGCCCTCATATTTGTGGTAAGTGCTGAAAAGTTTAGACCCTTAATGTTTTAGAATTCTATAAGCATGCTTATTGCATCCCTACTTTTCAGTGGGGATGTTTTTCATATTCTGCCATGTCACTTGCTCAGCATCAGGTAAACTGCCCTAGATTTGCTGAACATTGTGGCCTGCTTTCTCAGTTTAGGCTTTTACATAGATCTATGACTCCATGGATAGTGAAATATGGATCCCAAATTATAATCTATATAGAAGTGACAGTAATTAGGTAAGGTGGAGGAGTAGGTCTGTATAGTAGAGCATGCACATTGTTCCTGAACTTGACCAGTGAGATGGTAGAGATACTTGGAATCAGAGTTGAAAATTTAAATCTAATTACTGTATTCTAATATACAGACTGCCAGATGCAGCAGTTGAGGAATTCAGAGTGGCTACACAAAATAGAGAATATCCTTGATAACCTAGCAAACCCAGTTAGTACCAGATATTATCTTCCTTGGAGACTTCAATTTACCCAGATTAAAATTGAGAATGGTAAATCAAATCAAATGTTTATTCAAGTAAAAGTACAGTGGTACCTTGGCTTATGAATTTAATTCGTTCCCCGATACGGTTCGTAGCCTGAAAGTTCATAAACCGAAGCAAATTTTTCCATAAGAAATGTAAATTGAATTAATTCATTCCACACACTCAAAAATATTAACTTCAAAGTAAATTTTATACCTAATTCACCCAAATCTTTAGTATTAAAGTATGTACAAGTTATTGCTTACCTTTATTGATACCTTGTTGGTGTATGGAAGATGGTGGGGAGAGGGAAGAGGTGTTAGTGTTTGGAAGGGAAGTCCCCTTCCATTATAACATCAGGCAGTGATGCCTTCTCTAGGGTACTCTCTCTGGCACATTTTGCCTGCATACCACTAGGACCTGCTTGTAGCTCACTGCTTGTTTTTCTCACTAAAACCTTTCCATAGACTTGTTTTCCCTATGTTGTAACACTTGTCTGTAATGAGACATCAGTGTCATTAAAAAGGTAAAGGCAATGGCCTACTACAGCTTACTCTGGGTGAGTCGTTTCAACAAGAGTTTGCATTTCTTCCCATAGTCTACACCACTTCTTAATTGTTGAGGAAGGGATTTAAAGGCTATTCATGCCGGTGCCACCTGGTTGGCTTAATCTTTAACAATCATTCGAGGAAGGGACACTGTACTGCTTCCTCCTCTCCTGAAGAAATTTCCTCGGCTGCCTCTTGTTGCTGCTCCTTATGAAGGGCTAGATTTCTTCTGTGGTAAGTTCTTCGCTGTGTTCCTCCACCAACTCATAACACTCATAACTCACACAACACTGAATGCCACTTCTTTTTCTAAATTTCTGAAACTATCCCCTGCTCGCTTTAAACACTTTCGTATCTGTATCACTTGTTCCAGGGGTTTTCTCTAAAAGGTCTTCATGCAATAGATTTGCTTTTTCACAAATGGCCTCTCAAACGCTGTCATCCACTAACTCCTTGTCGTGTATCCAAATTAATAACGACTTTTCAACGTCCTCAAGTGTTTGTTCTTTGTTTCATGATTGTCGATATGACTTTTGCCACTTAAGTACTCATATTTTTTTTTTTTTTTTTTTTTTTTTTTTTTTAATTTTATAGAAATTACAGTGCATATCATTGACATAAATTGTTGTACTGCCTAGCTAGTTCAACAACCCGTGTACCATTTTCATGTTTACGAATGATCATTTGTTTTTCCTCTATGGTCATCCTCATGTGTGTTTTCTTGGGTTGAACCTTAACACTGGCTTTCTTGGGACCTGTGGCGAGATATATAATAAAAACTTATGTTCAAATACCTGTACCCAAAAATCCGAAATACACTGAAATTCTTTACAAAGAATTCAAGCACGATTGTCACTAGGTGGGAGGCACCAGTAAATTGAGGGGCGATCGCCGTGTCACCATTTGCTAGGTTGGCCATACGTGTATGAACAAACTACATTACCCGAGGCAAAATTTGTAACTTCATTCGGATTTTACAAAAAAAATGGGCTCGTAACTGGAAAAGTTTGTAAAAAGTGACATTCGTAAGCCGAGGATTCACTGTACAGGTGTACATACATATGAGTTGGATTTCTAATGTGGAACCTGCTAATATTATGCATGAGGTGTGTGTGTGTGTGTGTGTAAATAAAGAGCTGTCAGGAAGAACAAATGGAACATGCAAATATAACCACCCAAGAAACTGCAGAAATACCCTAAATATAGGAACCCGCCAAACACACAGCAAAACTACGACGTTGGTACAACGTTCGAACAAGTTTTAACACCTCCTAACCAGTTATAACAACCAATATAGCAAGTTGTAACAACGTTCTAATACGTCATAAACACGTTAAGCCAAGATGTAACAACATTATTACAAGTTGTAACAAGCGGAAAATAAAAACAGTTTTGGTTTGTGTTTCCAGGGAACGTGTTGCTCTGATAACTACAAATACTTCCACCCAAAGCTGTGTAAAAATTTGTTAACCAAAAAGGAGTGTTTTAACAAACAATGCCCAGATTTTCATATCAAAGGAACAACGCGAATAAAATCAGAAGAATGCCATTATGAATACAGCAACATCCATACATACCAGTGTTTTTGTTGTTGTAAGAGAAAGAGTAAAAGAATGGCAAAAAATGTCCAAACTGTACCATCAACTTGGTCAGATGCTAAACAGGTTACAGATAATGAAGCACCCATACCAGACCCACATAGTAAAATACCCAACACTTCCACAAATATGACATCTTTCATATTTGCCAACATACAAGGTATCAAATCATGCAATACAAAGAAAGTCCACTTTATCTCAAGAAGTGCAGAACACCACTATCACAGGCCCTAAACATCTTTTGGAGATGGAGCTATACTGGCATTATACCTGACATACTTAAAACAGTGGAGATCGCGTCACTTCACAAAGAAGGCAGTACAGCAGATGCTACAAATTATAGACCAATAGCTCTAACCTCACACCATAAAAATCTTTGAAAGAGTGGTTAGTAGTAACATTACAAATCGCATGGAATCACATCTACATAACCCTGGACAACACGGGTTCAGAACAGGGCGCTCCTGCCTTTTGGTTGTATTTGGAAAGTCTCCTCTGTCACCAGGCCCCTTAATCTGTTCCACACTCCCAAAAATATTAACTTCAAAATGCATTTCATACCTAATACACACACACCTAATACACAGCACTATAGTACAGTATGTACAAATTACTTTTAGCTTACCTTTATTGATGATTCTTGTTGGCGTATGGAAGACAGTGAGGAGGAGGGAGGAGGAGAGGTGTTAATGTTTGGAAGGGAAGTCCCCTTCCTTTATATCAAGCACTTGTGACTTCTCTGGGATACTCTCTCTCTCTCTCTCTCTCTCTCTCTCTCTCTCTCTCTCTCTCTCTCTCTCTCTCTCTCTCTCTCTCTCTCTCTCTCTCTCTCTCTCTCTCTCTCTCTCTCTCTCTCTCTCTCTCTCTCTCTCTCTCTCTCTCGTATGTTTTGCAGGCATACCACTAAGACCTGGATGTGGCTCACTGCTTGCTTGTCTTCCTAAGAATCTGTCTAAAGACATTCGTTTTTCCCTACATTTTCAAACTTGTTTGTAGTGAGAAGACATATTGTCATTAATAAGGTCAATGCAACGGCCTGCTAAAGCTTTATCTGGGAAGTCTTTTCAGTAGAACTTTGCAGGTCTTCCTATACTGCACACATTTTCTTAATGAGGAAGGGACATCCTCTACTGCTGCTGCTGCCTTCCCTGAAAATTTGTTGTACTGTAGCTAGTTCAACAAGTCGTGTACCATTTTCATGTTTATGAAAATGATCTTGTTTTTCCTCGCTGGTCATGCTCAAATGTGTTTTCTTAGTTTGAACCTTATAACTGACTTTCTTGGGACCCATGGTGTGATATATAATACTGTACTGTAATTACTTTTATGTTCAAAACCCCCCAAAAAGCAGAAAAACAATGAAATTCTTTACAAAGAATTCGAACACGATTGTCATTAAGCGGGAGCCACTGGTAAATTGAAGCGCGGGTGACTGTACCACCAGGAACCACGCGCTCAGTTTACCAAACATGGGGTAAACATGGGGTAAACATGTATCAACAAACTTGTAACTCGAGGTAAAGCTTGTAACCCGAGTGAAATTTTATAATGAAATTAGGCTCTTAACCCGAAAAATTTGTAGAGGGGCATTTGTAAGCCGAGGTGCCACTGTACTGTTCACGAGACTTTACGTTGCTTATACTATTTCCTTGAACTCTGTTAAATGCTTGACCCGTGGCAAAGTTTAAAATTTTTAACATTCTACTGAAAACTTTGCTAATATGAATGCCATCACGAATGCCATCACTTTCGAGCCACGAAAGTGTTAACACTTTCGTGGCCCGATGGTGGTGTCGATGTCATAAAACAAAAATAGAGTAGATGATGCAAACGGCGTCACATATTTAACAATTTGTAAAAATTCCATTTATTGTCCGATTACTGTGGAACTTATTCTAAAATGTGCGCCAACATATTCCCATGCTCTGTATATCCTACGTGGCATCACCACTCTGCAGTCGGGAATAAATGACGACTGGAAACACCGAAGAAAAGCAGGTGTTGTTCACATGATGATGAACTTTATCTTATAGTATTTGTTAACGTTCTAATATTTACTCTTGTATGGAAATATCCCTTTAGGGCATTCTATTGCGAACAATTTGATACCAAATTGAACGACGTAGCACGAAAATTAAAGTCACAAAGCTGAAAAGAGTATAATCATATTTGTGGCGAGTTCACACTCAACACTCCGCCTACCTTGAGGTGCGAGGGGTGGGAGGCGTGTTGATAGTGTTAATAAACACAAAGAAATTGGTGACCTGACTTGTGTAAAAAATGCAATATGTGATTGAACCAGCAACTTAGTGAACACCAGCCATGTGCCATACCCTTAGGCCATGACATGCTAAAAGCCATTCAATCTGGGACCCTACTGAATCCACTAGGAATTCTGGAGACACCAACTGGTGTCCAACCAAGTTTTATGAATAGCCCACATGCTCTCTGGTATGGGTAATATTGTTCTCCACCAGAATTTCTAGTGGATTCAGTAGGGGTGCTAGGTTAAATAGCTTTTAGCATGTCGTGGCCTAGGAGTATGTGCAGCTGGCATTTACTAGGTCGCTGGTTCAATCTCCACGTTATTCCAAATGATTTTCCATGATCTTAAAAAGTGAGGCTGTACAGTTGTTGAAAAGTTTGCATACATGTATATAATCCATATGCATATTTAGTTACAATATTACCAAGGATATTTAGTCGCTGTAATAAAATTTCATAAGATTTGTTCAGCTCTAAATACATGTACATGTACAGGTATATTATTAAAGTATGTATTGTTAGAATCTGTTGTGCAACTAGATATAGTGTTTGTGCAGAACTTATGTTGCATATGCCTTGCAACATAAGCTCTGTTAATGCTGTTGTACATTTTTACCAATATTAAAGTTTTGTGCATTATCTGCCTGCCTTAAACTGGTATAACACAATTACCAAACTGAAGTGTATGTCCTTGTGTTTCAGGAACCTATCAAGGCCAAGGCTCCTCAACTTCACCTCGAGTATAGATTCTATCGCATGTTGGATGCCGTGGGAGGTAAGTTTTTATATCCTCGCTGGTTGTCACGGTACTAATGGCTCGCTGTGTACACTTGCTGTTACTTCCCCCCCCTATTATAGTACCCCATTGGGAGTGCAAACTGGACATTTTGTAAAGTCTCATGCAAACTGAACCTAGTCCATGGGAAAGTTAGACATACTCATAATGGCTTCCAATCAGTGTTCGAACTTCGTGGGTTTATATTTGTTCATATACAGTACAGTATCTTAAATCACAAATATAAGGTATCACAGCTTTGAGTTTACATAATTAGCAATTGGTATACAGTATAATCAACATTTTGAAATGTGCTGTATATTAAAAATATAATTAATGATAGGGGTTAGGTTTATGGTTGAGGTTTGCAGTGAAAATAGTAAATACGAAAATTCCCAACACCCATTTTCATCTGTGTCAGCAGAATCGAGCTATTTGCTCTTGGACCCCTCCTTTCTAACCAATCTATTTTTCTTCTATTATATCTACTACATATATTTCTCTCTAACACACGAACACACATCCATGTACGACCATGTACGAAAAAATAAAAAATACTTTTGTCAGTTGGTTCAGTAATGGGCGAGTGGCATTTGTCGTTTGGCACAGTGCAGTGGTTAATGGTGGTATGTGTCGGGCAGTAAGAGAGTAGAGTAAAGGGGTAGTCTTAAAGGGAAGAGTTGGACAAGTAATGGGAGGGGGCTTGGGAAACTTGAGGGCGGGTTTGGGTATCGAGGGCAGCCTGTTGTTGGGGTAGGAGGGAGGGTGTCTGGGCCAGCCAGAGCGCAAGAGGGAGGGAAGGTGGGTGTCTGGGCCAGTCAGAGCATGAGAGGGAGGAAGGTTGGATGTCTAGGCCACCCAGAGCGCGAGGAGGGAGGGAGGGACGGTGGGTGTCTGGGTCAGCCAGAGCGTGAGAGGTAGGGTGGGTGGGTGTTTGGACCAGCAAGACCGCGAGAGGAAGGGAGGGTAGGTGTCTGGACCAGCCAGAGTGCGAGAGGAAGGATGGGTGTCTGGGCCAGCCCGAGGGAGGCTCCATGCACCTTAGCGTATCCAGTACGTAACCCGCTAGATCACACTGACTGTTCAAAAGAATTGGAAGTCGTCAGACCCTTAACCCAATTGTCTGTTAGTCGTCCAGTACACTCTCCCACACACTCCCACACTTGTCTGTGAGTCTCGACTAACAATTGTATGTTAGTCGTCCACAGACAGGAACTGTTCCTGTCTGTGTCTATTACCTTGAGGGATTTTGTGCTTAATTTTTGACTTGGAATAATAAGAAACTTTTTTAAGCTTTGGGGAGCCGGTGGCCGAGTGGACAGAACACTGGATGCGTGATCCTGTGGTCCCGGGTTCGATCCCGGGCGCTGGCGAGAAACAATGGGCAGAGTTTCTTTCACCCTGAAGCCCCTATTATCTTGCAGTAAATAGGTACCTGGGAGTTAGTCAGCTGTCATGGGCTGCTTCCTAGGGTTGGAAGCCTGGTCGAAGACCGGGCCGCGGGGACACTAAGCCCCAAAATCATCTCGAGATAACCTCAAGATAACCTCAAAACTTGCAACAGTAGTACTGTATTAATAATTTCTAGATTCACAGCCCCATATTACAATATATATTCGGCATATTCACTGCAGTATATTCAGAGGTAAATCTCTACACTGGTCAGGCTGTGTGGCTGCTGTAAAAATATTCTAGGTCCATGTTGCCTGACTGGCACTGTACAGTATTATACAGTGTGTAATGTAAAAATATATTGTATAGGAGTATTATATTAGAAGTAATGTTTATTTAAGAGTTTGAGATACTGTATTGTAAATATTATGTTGATATTGAGACCAGTTTAGAGACATGTAAATAATAAACAGGTTAGCCTAATGAAGAAGAATAAATAAATAACTTGGGTTTATTAACAATATTTGTTTCCGTTTTCCTTGCACGCATCAGGAAAAGATGGTAAGTAGCTGTGAGAACCTCTGGCTTTTTGCTCTTGTGGCCTCCAAACTGTTGACCTCACTGCACTGTTGGGGGTCACCTTCCTGGTACTTATGGTGTGGCCTGCAGGCTACTTGCCTCCCTCATCACACTAAATGGGGTATAGGCCTAGCTAGGCCTAACCTTACCTTGGGCCCTTGATGTTGCCTAGGAAGGCAGCAGTGAATAGGTAAACAAAGCTGACAACTGGAAAATTATGGTTACTTATGACAGTCTAGTGCAAGAAAACACTCCACGCAAGGAATAGAAACATTGATTACTGAAGCGTACAAAAGTTTGCTTGAAGCAAGTCGGGAAGACGTCCACCATAGAAAGAGAATGCAGACAACTCTGCAAACCAAAGAAATAATAGAAATGCTCAAGCAGATAAGACTATTGCAATAAAGAAAGGGAAATCTAAATTACCCTACTGTATTAATAAATAATAAATATTACACTGCATTCTGTTTGTTAGGAAGTTGAAGATCCATCTCCCTACTTTGCCAGCAATTCCTTTTGTATGCCTTTCGTGTGCAATAACACATGATTACATTTGTCAAAAGCTTTTTGCAAAGTCTGTGTATTTGCTAGTCTTCAATGGCACCAAAGGCCATGTCTTGGTGATCTAGCAACTGAGAGACGGGAGTGCCCTGTTCTGAAGCAGTGTTTGTGAAGACAGACAAAATGCCTATGTAATTTATACGGATTTTGCAAAAGCCTTCGGCTAATGTGACCACAGTGTTATTGCACACAAAATGCGTTCAAAAGGAATTACTGGATAAATAGGCAGATGGATTTGCAATATCCAGACTAACAGAACCCAATGTGTAATAGTCGACAAAATAAAATCCAGTCTATCAATCGTGAAGAGCTCAGTCCCTCAGGGTACTGTGCTTGCTCCAATACTTTTTCAAATCCTCATATCGGACATTGACAAGGACACAGTACCTGTGTCCTTGTACACAAGTACTGTACTTGTACACAAGTACACAATCTATAGTACTCTGATGTTAATCGGGTCTTTCAATGTGCCACAGATAATGATGTTTGATGAATGTAAATTCCATGTTACGGATAATGAAAATGTAAAAACCGAATGCACATAACTCGATCAAATCATACTATAAAACAAAAAAGCAATGTAAAGGATCTAAAAGTAATCATGTCTGGAAGACCTTACTTTTAAACAATATAATAAAGTAGCTGTCACGACTGCAAGAAAAATGACAGGTTGGATAACGAGGACCTTCCAAACTAGGGATGCCATACTAATGATATTTTTTAAGATATTACTGCTCTCTAGGGTGGAATATTGTTGCACACTAACGGTCCCCATTCAGCGCCAGAGAAATTGTTGACCAGACCATTACATACCACATAGTTTACACTGTTTTATTATCATTAGTACCTGTTCCATATTAAAGGGCATGCAAAGATAGTTTACTTCAGAAATCCAATCTTGTGAAATATCTAAATTATTTAAATTATAGGGACCAATTAATTAAAAGTTCTAACTGTATACTCTAGAGTGCAGGCAGGAGAGATACATAACAATTTATACATGGAAAATATTCGAGGAACTGGTTCTGAATCTGCACACAGAAATCACATGTAGCGGAAGAGTGTTGAAGAGTATAACATGTAGCGGAAGTGTGTTGAAGAGTATAACATGTAGTGGAAGTGTGTTGAATAGTCTCGGGCCTCTAATGTTGATAGGTAGAATAGGGTTAAATAAAAAATGAAATCTAAAATCGAAAAACAATGTTTTTTAAACAGAATCGAGTACATCTGCCAGATGCTTCCTCATAGAAGGCCTCAAGCCTGATGTGACCATTTTCAGTGCTGAAAACTTTTCTACACTGACATCATTTACATTAAAAGTAGGAGTCTACATTTCTACCAACTTGGTCAAATACCCCAAGAATTGCTTCCAGATCAGATTACAGGCCTGCTCATAACCCCTTTATCTCATCCCTTTCCCTATACCTTGCCCTCCACCTCATGCTTCTAATTGCTCTCTCATTTCTCTTTTCAGAAAACGATAAACCAAGAGGTAAGTTATGGAGATTTGGAGGAGTGTACGTTTATCTGGTGTGTAGGACTGTGTCGTTGTGGTTCTTGAACAAAGGTAAGGTTGGCACTCGCTCTTATCACACATTGTTTATGCTCACTTATGTTGTTTGTAATAGTTCATATATTTCGTTTTATCACTTTCATTTGTTCGTTCCAGCAGGTTTCTTTATGGAGGCTAGTGTTCTGTGGTGGTGAAAAACGGAAAAAAATGAAAATATAAAAACGGAAGCCACATACAAAAACCAGTCAAATCATAACATAAAACAAAAAAGGCAATGTAAAGGATTTGGGTGTAATCATGTCAGAAGACCTTACCTATAAAGAACACAATAAAGTAACTGTCACATCTGCAAGAAATGACAGATTGGATAACAAGAACCTTTCACTGAGATGCTATACTGATGATACTTCTCAAGATGCTAGTGCTCTCTAGAGTGGAATACTGTTGCACAGTGACAGCCCCCCTCTCAAAAGCTGGAGAAATTGCTGATCTGGAGAGTGTGCAGAGATCCTTTACTGCTAGAATCCACTCAATAAAACATCTAAACTATTGAGACCGATTAATATGCCTAAAACTTTATTCTCTTGAGTGCAGGAGGGAGAGATACATAATAATTTACGTCAAAAATAGTGGAGGGACTGGTCCCAAACCTGCACACAGAAATAACACCACATGAGACCAGAAGGCATGGCAGGATGTGCAGAATATCAATGTTGAAAAGCAGAGGTGCAACAGGTACTCTGAGAGAGAGCTATCAACATCAGAGGCCTGATACTTTTCAATACACTTCGGAGAGACGGAGACAGAGGTGGTGGCGGAGAGACGGAGACAGAGAGGTGGTGGCGGAGAGACGGCAGACAGAGAGGTGGTGGCGGAGAGACGGCAGACAGAGAGGTGGTGGCGGAGAGACGGCAGACAGAGAGGTGGTGGCGGAGAGACGGCAGACAGAGAGGTGGTGGCGGAGAGACGGCAGACAGAGAGGTGGGGGGGTGGGAGACGGCAGACAGAGAGGTGGGGGGGTGGGAGACCGAGAGGTGGGGGAGCCAAGAGACGGAGACTGAGAGGGGGGCAGAGATAGAGACAGGAAGTGGGGGGAGCCACAGAGGGAAGGGAAGGGAAGGGAATTATCAAGGGAAAGCGCCAAGCCATTACAACTATATAGCACTTGGGAAGGGATCAAGATAAGGATTTGGGATGGGACGGGGGGAAGGAATGGTGCCCAACCACTTGGACGGTCGGGGATTGAATGCAGACCTGCATGAAGCGAGACCATCGCTCTATCGTCCAGCCCAAGTGGTTAGTTGGGGGGCGGAGACGGCAACAAATAGTCTTGGGCACTGCTGGGTACCCTTTTAATGTGCATAGTACAATATACCTGTACGTATAAATAAAAATGTTCGTGGTTGGAAAATGGATGGGGGAGAATGGGGGAAGAGAGGAAGATTGGAGATGGGGTGAGGGGGGGTGGGGGGAAGGGGGAAAATGGGTGGAGGTGACTACAGTACTGTACCTTGTGGATACCGCATGGGGGTTCCGAGGATCAACGTTCCTGAAGCACAGTCTCTGACCGTTCCTCTTGGTGGTCTGGTCAACCAGGTTGTTGGACGTAGCTGCTTTTAGACTGATGTATGAAAATGGGGAATGTTCTGGAAGGTGTGGGAGAGGTGAACATTCCAGGCACCACTAGGTGCCTGTCTCTTCTAGTCTCCTATATCACAGTCATGAGGTATTGCATCGCTGCTCATATTGTTAGTGCCTTGTCTCTTAACAGTAACCTCCCTTTGATGAACACTCCATGACAACAGGATTTTGATTTTGATTTTTTGTTTGTCAATGTGAACTTAGCAACCCCAAAATCTGTGAATTCTATTTTAATTAGTCTCTATAATTTAGATATTTTAGAAAGTCAGTATTTTGTTGATTTTCTTTTGGGGATGAAAGAGGAAGGGTAGTTGGCAATTGACTGAACCTATTTATGTAAGTTGGTTTTTCAACCTTGAGCTGTCGTGCTCCAACATTGTTCAGTTGAAACACTACCTGCCAATTTTTATATGCTAATTTTATTTTATTTTATTTACAAATTTTTCCTTTAAATTTCCATCCATTTCTTAGGTAAATACTTTGTAGATTTGATTTATTGTGAATTTGGGACATTGTTAAACATGATGCTTCTCCCTAATTACTGCAAATAAGATAAGGTCTGTGATAAGAGCAAAGTCTCTTCATCCTGCTGTTTTTCCTCCCTATGCCTCCATTTTAATGTTTTCATTTTACTGAACATTTTCTCTCAATTTAAATTCACCTACTCTAGTTGTGACTTGTCATCCCATGTTTTTGGGTGTTTTGTCTCTTCAGTTAGTTGTCCCACCATTCATCATGTTAGCTGCCATCATTACTGTTCTTCCTGCTACAGTCCTTCTCGCATCCTTATGTGGATACTTACTCATAACAGAGTCACGTCTCTTTTGTGATTATTCTTGCAACATCCTGGTGTGTTTCCCTCTGCATGGGCTGGTTCACATTGCTGTATGTGTAGTGTATGGAGGGTGGGCAGCTGCTGGTGGCCAAGAAATACTAGGTAAGGCTTCGTTGAACCTACACCAGTAATCCACAAACAAGATTACTCTTGTTGAACTTCATAACTGTTTGTGACACCTATATCTTCCTCCACAGTAAACTTGATCAGACTGTTGCGGGATTTCATTGATTCTTCATTAATGTCCTCACTGAGCCACATGAAAATACCTTCAAATTTAGTATACATCTTCAGAGTGGCTTCATCTTCATCTTCAACAGTGGCTGTTCTTTTCAAGTTATTTTATTAATTACCTGTACCAAATAAGGTTAATCTTATGTTAATCAGAGAATTAATTTTCTGAAGCTTATTAATGGCTCTTGTGTGATATCTTAAACTGCTTTTTGTGCATTAGATTGAAACTTGCAACACACATGCACATATAGGGGTAAAACATAGGTTCCTTATGTTATTGGTATTATAACCCACTAGGGGCTGATATTATATACAATATACAGGATATACGTACTGAATCTACCTGTACTCACCTAGTTGTGCTTGTGGGGTTGACCTTTGTCTCTTTGGTCCCACCTCTTGACTGTCAGTCAACTGGTGTACAGGTTGGGATCAATCATATTTACGTTTTAAACTGTTTATGGAGTCTGCCTCCATCACATCTCTGCCTAGTGCATTCCATTTGTTAACCGACACTGAAAAAATAATTTCTAATGTGTGTACGTGCGCCTTATTTGAGTACTAAGCTTCCACCTGTAATTACCTAAGTGTAGTTACAGGATGAGAGCTACGCTCATGGTGTCCCGTCTTCCCAGCACTCTGTCATGTAACACTTTGAAATTACTGACGGTTTTGGCCTCCACCACCTCGCCTAACTTGTTCCAACCGTCTAACACTGTTTACAAAAGTGAATTTTCTTATATTTCTCTGGCATCTTTGCTTCGTTAGTTTAAATCTATGACCTCTTGTTCTTGAAGTTCTGGGTCTCAGGAATATAAGAGGATTCGAACCCAGACAGCCAGGAGCACTATGTACCTTGATGTATCTGGTACCTAAACCACTAGACCACACTGTGTAGTTAGATGAGCCATGCTCGTGGTGTCCCATTTTTCCAGTACTCTGTTGTATAACGCTTTGAAACTACTGAAGGTTCAGCCTCTACCACCATCTCACTTAGCTTGTTCCAACCGTCTAACACTGTTTATAAAAGAAAATTTTCTAATGTTTTTTTTTAGCACCTTTGTTTCCTTAGCTTGAATCTGTGTCCTCTTGTTTGTAATGTTGGTGGTTTCAGGATTTCCTCTGTCATTTTGGTCGATTCCTGTTAGTATTTTGTATGTGGTGATCATATCACCTCTTTTTCTGCTATTTTCTAGTTTTGGCATATTTAATGTCTGTAGTATCCTTGTAACTCCTGGTTTTTCAGTTTCAGAAGCCATTTTGTAGCATGCCGCTGCACCTTTTCCCAGTCTCTTTGTACTTCTTAAGATTTGGGCACCATACAAATGCTGCATATTCTAGTTTTGATCTCACAAAAGTTATGAACAGTTTCCTTAGTATTTCACCATCCATATAATTAAAAGCAAGTCTGAAGTTGGAAAGCGACACACACATGCTCTTCTCACAATGTTCTTTGTGTTACTCTGGCAACACCTTACTATCTAAAATCACCTTAGGTCTCGTTCTTTATTAGTTATATAATTCCTTTCCACATACAGTGGCCCCTCTGTTTACGAATTTAATCCGTTCCCAGAGACGGTTTGTAACCCAAAACAAATTTTCCTGTAAGAAATGATGTAAATTGAATTACTGTTCAACTCCCAAAAATATTAACTTCAAAATACATTTCATATCTAATAAACACACACATTTAGTACTATAGTAAGTACAAGTTATAGTTTACCTTTTATTGATAACTCTTGTTGGCCTATGGAAGAGGGTGAGGAGGAGAGGTGTTAATGTTTGGAAGAAAGCCCTTTCCATTATAACATCAGACAATGATGACTTCTATGGGGTATTCTCTCTCTCCTACATTTTGCCTGCATACCACTAGGACCTGGTTGTTGATCACTGCTTGTTTTTCTCACTATAAACCTTTCCAAAGATACTTGTTTTTCCCTACATCGTAACACTTGTCTGTAGTGAGGCATCAGTGTCATTAAAAAGGTTAAGGCATTGGCCTACTTGACCGAGTTCTTCACAGTTGATGGTCTGAACTTTATTTTGTTGACTATTACACATTATGACTATTATGCCCAGGACCAAAGAGCCAGAGCTCAATCCCCACAAGCACAACTAGGTGAGTACATTGGGTTCTCTTAGTCAGGAAATTGTAGATCCATCTGCCTATTTTTCCGGTAATTCCATTTATTAACATTCATGACGATAACTGCATTCATACCATGAAATGACAACAGGATTTTTTTCATGGGTCAAGGTGAACTCCATTACATCCACATAACCTGTTATATCCATATTTGCATCATACATGTAAAACCTAGACAATAATTGGTTTAAATTTTCATATTATAACTGGATTACTCAGTGAATTGACAATTGACGATGTCTGCGGCCTAAGGGTTAAACAAGCTTTTTAAGATTATATTTTGTCTGGTCGTTTCAGTGGAAGGCATTCCAAGAATCTACTATTTTGGGGTGTGTGGCAAGTACAATGCCCTGGTGATGGAGCTTCTAGGGCCCAGCCTGGAGGATCTGTTCGATATGTGTGGCAGACGTTTCAGTCTCAAGACAGTACTATTAATAGCCATACAATTAGTAAGTATTTTTCATCATAAATATTGTTTTATACATTTATAAATTCACGGTATAATTTTTTGTTTGTATCTAGCTTCCAGTTGTTTCCCAAAATGAAAATACAATTGAACCTTGATTTGGTGAATTTCCTGTTGGAATGCACACTTTCAAGGCTAAATTTACTTGCCCATTTCAACGAACACTTCAGCGAACTCTTGTTCGTTGAAATGGGCGTTGAAATAGTTAAGTTGATCTCTAACTCTTAGAAGGCTAAGCACAAGGGGCTAAAACCCAAAGAATTTTTGAATTATGTTAAAATACTTAGAAAATGTTAAACAAATCTACAACTTGTTGGCTTCAGCGTCGTGAAAATTTCATCCCAATATTTTCAAAAATGGATTTTAGACAAAGTTTTTAAAAAGAAGAATGTTTTGTTGATAAGAACAGGAGCTAAAGTATGTTGACCAGACCACACACTAGAAGGTGAAGGGACGACGACGTTTCGGTCCGTCCTGGACCATTCTCAATCGACTTGAGAATGGTCCAGGACGGACCGAAACGTCGTCGTCCCTTCACCTAGTGTGTGGTCTGATCAACATTAGCCACATTATTGTGACTCATCGCCTGCAACAGGAGCTATTAACTGGATCTGAGGGATAATGCAGTAATAAAGAGATGCAAGTACCTGTCCACAAAGAAGAATAGTAGTAAGAAGTGTCCACAAAGTGGATATGCAGTTGGTGCCTTTACACCATTGCTAAGTAATACATAATAACAGAAATACTAATGAGTAAGTATGTTATGCTCTATTTTGTTATATATCATATAAATATATTGGTGAAAGTAACAGCTATTAACATTGGCTAATGTTCAACAAATATTTTATTTTTTATTTTTTTGTTCTTTGTTTATTATCTGATTTTGTTGTAATCTCTACATCCTGGAGAGTACATACCCATCCCTAACTATTTGAAGATAGAATGAAATTGGGCAACAAATAACTATCACAACTGGCAGTACTTGGGACTTTGAATTTTTTGGGGTAATTTTTTCAGATTTCAAACTTCAGTGGAACCTCGGGTTATGAACGTTCCTGTTTAAGAGTTTTTTGGGTTACGACCCTGATTTGTTTGGAAAATTTGCATCGGGTTAAGAGTTTATTGATACGCGTATGGGCCGACTTAGCACGTGGCACGGCGATCGCGCCTCGGTTTACCAGTGCCTCGCGACCAGTGACTATCCCGCCTGAATTCTTCACAAGGATTTACAGTTCTTTGTCGGATTTTTGCCCATTTGCGCATAAATAATTTATCAAAAATTTATTTATAATTTAAATAGAAAATAATTTATATACCAATCTTTTTATAAATATTTATATCTGTAATCAGCATTTGTTTTGCTTTTCAGATTCATAGAACAGAATATGTACATTCTAGAAGATTAATATATCGAGATGTAAAGCCAGAAAACTTTCTCATAGGAAGGAGCTCCACTAAAAAAGACAAAATAATAAACATAATAGGTAAGAAAATGCAGTCACATGAACACTGTTCATGTTTTTGTATTTTTTATTCTACTTAATTTGCTGTTACAATTTAGTATTGAAAATAATGTTTAAGTTATTAAATTTGAGTTTTTATAAGAATGTATTCTGTATTTGCAAGTATAAGGAACATCTCAGTGTTATATATGAATCACCAAGTAACTTGACTTTGGTTTCAGATTTTGGGTTAGCTAAAGAGTATATTGACCCAACGACAAACAAACACATCCCGTATCGGGAACACAAGTCCCTAACAGGGACTGCCCGCTATATGTCTATTAACACACACATGGGTAAGGAGCAGTCCCGAAGAGATGACCTTGAAGCACTAGGGCACATGTTCATGTACTTTCTTAGGGGGTCACTTCCTTGGCAAGGTCTCAAGGCAGATACCCTTAAAGAACGCTACCAGAAGATTGGTGACACAAAACGAGCGACCCCAATTGAAGTCCTCTGTGAAAACTATCCTGGTGAGTACTTTGTTGCTTTTTAATTTTGGAAACCTTACCTCTTCATTTTTTATACCTCTATAGGATTCCATTTTACCTCTATAGGATGAAGATACTGTATCAGGGTTGTCATTAGAAATTTTAAGTGGGAAAATCATCTCCAAATAAAGTAAAATTGCTTGTTTAATTTAAGAAATTAATTTTTCTTGCCTTCTACACTAATTTGTATTACACCATTTGTATTTGTCACTTCTGAGACTCTTGATCTCTTAGGCTATTCAGTCAGTCCTTATTAAACACTGTGCTGCGCCAACTGAGAAAACTCAAGTCAGTATCTGGGAATTTTTTTTAAAGATGGCTGCCCCTCACTGAAGGTCCCACGAGTCCACTTCGTACCCAACCTACCGCGCTCGTGTTTCGACTGTATAAAAAAAAAAAAAATAAATAAAGTTTTCTTGGTGGGTGCAGTAAGGGGGCAAACACGATTTCTTGGCCGATGCAGTGCAGTGGTTAGTGCCGTTGCTTCCCTCGTCTCATCACTATTGACTTGATAATGGGTGGATTGGTCAACATTTTTCAGCAAAGTTATTGTGACTTTTCATTTGCATCTTGTAAGTTTTTTCATAAACCCTAAATGATTTATAATTTTTTTATCTACATTTGGTGCATACTTCAAATGCCATATTTACTTTTTTTTTAGTTAACTATACTGAAAACTTATACTTATGAAAATGAAGATCATATGCTATTCTGAGAGCATAACAACAACAAATGAACAATTGGTGATATTTTTTAAACTCGCTTAAAAATAAGAAATTTTCAATATTCAATTTTATAATTATTTTTTATTTTCTTGTTTTTCATGTTACATTGGTGATCATTTAGACAAAGTTGGAGCATGTCTTAATAGATTATGTAAAAAAAAAAAAAAAATGAAACCATTTGAGCAAGTTTGATAAACTGAGTTCACCCCTGAAGTTATCTCAGCATAGATGCCTCACACAGTCCTTTATGTGGTCCTCTGGTGACAGTTTACTGTCCAGAACTGCCCTTAGATATCTTTTTGTTCAGTTATAATATCTTGATAATATATTCAGTGGAACATATATAATATGTATTTATAATATCCAGGTCTTCCTGAGGGGCACAAGGCATACAGGTCTTTTCACTCAGATTACAAAGAAATGATCATGGCATATATAAATGAAAATCATTTTGAGGCATTAGAGTGTCATATTCTGTTCTGGTTCTGCTGGTTATCTTCCCAAGTAGCTTAGCATCTTCAGCAAACATGTTCATATTATTGTGTATTCCCTCTGATAGATCATTAATTTATTCAGTTAACATTACTGGTGTAAGAACTAAACCCTGTGGTGCTCCCTAGTAACATTTCTCCAGTCAATGCTCTGTAGTATACATTCTCTGATTACTGCCCACATTTTTTTTTTTTTTTTAATTTTTCATCCGTATCAAAGGTCTTTCTGTCCCTCCAGAATGTCTTGGCTTCCAAAATCTCTTGTGTAGGACTGTCAATTTTTGTATTATTATTATTATAACTTCCTGTTCAAAAAACATACTGTTATTTCTTTCAGGTATTCTACCTATTTTGGTTTAAATTATTTTGTATAGTGCTTTAACTACCATTCTTGTACTCGCCTAGTTGTGCTTGCGGGGGTTGAGATTCAGTTCTTTGGTCCCTCCTTTCGACTGTCAATCAACTGGTGTAAAGATTCCCGAGCTTTTTGGGCTCTACAGTATCATGTCTACATTTCAAACTGTGCATGGAGTCTGCCTCCATCACATCCACTGCCTAATGCCTTCCATCTGTTAGCTGCCCTTGGCATGCAGCCCATGCCTGGTGTTCCTGCTTGGTTTTTATTTACAGAACCTGATACACCCTTTAGTGGTCTTCAGTAGGGTTTGGCTCGGCCGAGCCCTCCGAGTCCTCATTAACAGAGTGCACGTTTGATGAACGTTGCTTGGTTTTATGGCATACCAGTGGCATACATTGTTACTGCTTCTGCCATGCTTGCTGCCAGGTGAATGTGGCCTTTATGGCATGGCATTATCCCTCCTCAAGTGTCACTGTCACCAAGGGTGTCCTAGTCACACCAACAGGTTGTGATCCACAAGTGTCACTGTCACCAAGGGTGTCCTAGTCACACCAACAGGTTGTGATCCTCAAATGTCACTGTCACCAAGGGTGTCCTAGTCACACCAAACAGGTTGTGATCCACAAGTGTCACTGTCACCAAGGGTGTCCTAGTCACACCAACAGGTTGTGATCCTCAAATGTCACTGTCACCAAGGGTGTCCTAGTCACACCAACAGGTTGTGATCCACAAGTGTCACTGTCACCAAGGGTGTCCTAGTCACACCAACAGGTTGTGATCCACAAGTGTCACTGTCACCAAGGGTGTCCTAGTCACACCAACAGGTTGTGATCCTCAAATGTCACTGTCACCAAGGGTGTCCTAGTCACACCAAACAGGTTGTGATCCACAAGTGTCACTGTCACCAAGGGTGTCCTAGTCACACCAACAGGTTGTGATCCTCAAATGTCACTGTCACCAAGGGTGTCCTAGTCACACCAACAGGTTGTGATCCACAAGTGTCACTGTCACCAAGGGTGTCCTAGTCACACCAACAGGTTGTGATCCACAAGTGTCACTGTCACCAAGGGTGTCCTAGTCACACCAACAGGTTGTGATCCTCAAATGTCACTGTCACCAAGGGTGTCCTAGTCACACCAAACAGGTTGTGATCCACAAGTGTCACTGTCACCAAGGGTGTCCTAGTCACACCAACAGGTTGTGAGAAGGGAATAAGGTAGAGGATGGGGAAGTGACAAATATATAAGGCTCATTTATAGTTATGTATTTTTATGAATATTAATGATATTGTTTGTATTATACTGTGAAATGTGCTTTGCATGAAGACTGCAGATACCTTCCTCAATTGACTTTTTCAATGGAATATTTTTGTAATACTGTATATATTTCACATTTAACATAATCAGCATTTTATATTGCCCTATTTCCACATTTTCTAAACTATGATCACCATAATGTTGCTTTTTGCCTGTTACAGAAGAGATGGCGACGTATCTCCGGTATGTGCGGCGGTTGGATTTCTTCGAGACTCCAGATTATGACTACTTGCGGAAGCTCTTCCAGGATCTTTTTGAAAGAAAAGGCTACGTTGACGATGGAGAATTTGACTGGACCGGGAAGACTATGGTATGCTTCCTTAGGATTTCTTATTGCAGTCTAATTATGAAGTGGTTTAGAATAAGCCATTAAAATATGAAATAGTAGTGACCGCCATGTTTTTGTCAAATTTAGACTAATTAATTTTGCAAAATATATGCAGCCGGATGAATATTTAGCTAATATGCGACAACTGAGAACTGCTGCTCCTTCTGATCGTGTGAAAACGAGATCTGATAAGGTCTGTTCTACCATGTTGCTGGCCTAGAGTAATATCACTATGCTAGATTATGTACCCTTTTAGTAATGACCATATATCAAATGTGCTTGATAAATGTTGTCTTCACAAGCGTTGGAACCTATTGGCTGTTATTAGTCATCAAATTATTATTCCCTGGAAGTTAGTCGTACTTGCCAGAGATGGTTTGCCTCGTCGTGAATGTTTGTCACTCGGTTGTTGAACCTAGGACTCGATGGACATATTTTGTAAAGCTCATTTTAATTGAGAAACTACAGTGTATTTTCTTGAATGGATCAATTGATCCCATAATTTTATTTGCTTCAGATTTTCAATTACTTTTCTATGATTACTGTTTATATTCGTGTCCAGTAATCATAAAATTTCTTTGTCCACTTTCTGGGGCAAAAGTTTGACTCGACAAATACATACATAATAGTTTTGAAGGCTGTAAATTATTGCTTAGTACTTAAAACATTAAAAAGAAGCATGATAACTTGCTTTACTAATTATTAATAAAATTATAATACAATTACTATGGAGTATACAGGATGTTCCTGGTTTACAAACATTCGCCCTACGAACATTCGTCCATATGAACATTCTTCTAGGTCCCCATGATTTTATGTACTTCATGCATAAAATCACCGTACTAACTTGTTGGAGCATCCCTTTAAATTTCACGGCAGCGCGAATGTCCGTGCAGCAGCCACATGGAGTACATTACATACTGGTATTGTACAAAATTGTCTGCACAGCCCATTGGGAGGCAGGGCGAGTGAGTGTATTTACTATTTATGCCTGTGGGTAGCTGTGTGTCTGTGTTTGGTTGGCTGTGTGGGCATGGTTAGGTAGGAAAGGGTGTGTGTGTAATTACCTAAGCAGTTACAGGATGAGAGCTACGCTCGTGGTGTCCCCTCTCCCCAGCACTCTGTCATATAACACTTTAAAATTACTGACGGTTTTGGCCTCCTCCACCTTCTCGCTTAACTTGCTCAAACCATCTACCACTGTTTAAAAAAGTGAATTTTATTATATTTCTCCGGCAGCTTTGTTTCGTGAGTTTAAATCTGACCTCTTGTTCTTGAAATTCCGGGTCTCGGGAATTCTTCCCTATCAATTTTATCGATTCCGGTTACTATTTTGTATGTAATGATCATATCGCCTCTTTTTCTTCTATCTTCTAGTTTCTGCATATTTAATACCTCTAACCTCTCTTTGTAGCTCTTGTCCTTCAGTTCTGGGAGCCATTTAGTGGCATGTCGTTGCACCTTTTCCAGTTTGTTGATGTGCTGCTTAAGATATGGGCACCATACATCTTCTGCATATTCCAGCTTTGGTCTAACAAAAGTCGTGAACAATTTCTTTAGTATTTCTCCATTCATGTATTTAGAAGCTATTCTGAAGTTAGAAAGTGTAGCATAGGCTCCTCGCACAATGTTCTTAATGTGGTCCTCAGATGACAGTTTTCTATCTAAAACCACCCCTAGATCCCTTTCTTTGTCAGAATTCTTTAAAGATTTCTCATATAATTTATAGGTTGTTTGGGGTCTATGTTCTCCAATTCTACATTCCATAACATGGCATTTATTCACATTAAATTCCATTTGCCAAGTGTTGCTCCATATGCTTATTTTGTCCAGGTCTTCTTGAAGGGCATGACAATCTAGGTTTCTTATCTTCCCTATTATCTTAGCATCATCAGCAAACATGTTCATATAATTCTGTATTCTAACTGGTAGATTGTTTATGTAGACAATGAACATTACCGGTGCAAGAACTGAACCCTGTGGTACTCCACTCGTGACATTCCTCCAATCCGATACATTGCCTCTGATTACGGCCCTCATTTTTCTGTCAGGAAATTTTTCATCCATGTTAGCTTACTTGTCACCCCTCCAATATGTTCTAGTTTCCAGAACAACCTCTTGTGTGAAACTCTATCGAAAGCCTTTTTTAGGTCCAGATGCAGTCAACCCAACCATCTCTTTCCTGTAAAATCTCTGTGGCTTGATCATAGAAACAGAGTAAGTTCGTAACGCAGGATCTTCCAGATTGAAAACCATACTGTGTGTGATATTATATCGTATTTCTCCAGGTGTTCTACCTATTTAGTTTTAATTATTTTTTCCAATATTTTGATATTCTCCCTATTTTCTAGTGTTGTAAGGTTCAGTTCCTTCAGGCGCTCTTCATATCTCATAACTCTGGGACGAGTCTTGTCACAAACTTTATTTATTTATAATATACTGTGTGTGTGTGTGTAAAATAAATATATATAATATATATAACATGTGTAATATATAATATATATTATATAATATAATATATATAATATGTATATAACATATAATATATATAACATATATATATAATATATATAATATGTATATAACATATAATATATATAACATATATATATATATATATATATATATATATATATATATATATATATATATATATATATATATATAATATATATATATATAATATATATATATATATATAATATATATATATATATATATATATATATATATATATATATATATATATATATATATATATATATATATATATATATATATATATATATATATATATATATATATATATATATATATATATATATATATATATATATATAACCTAATAGCCAGAACGTATATCAGCTACTATTCAAGGCCCGATTTGCCTAATAAGCCAAGTTTTCATGAATTAATGTTTTTTCGACTACCTAACCTACCTAACCTAACCTAACCTAACTTTTTCGGCTACCTAACCTAACCTAACCTATAAAGATAGGTTAGGTTAGGTTAGGTAGGGTTGATTAGGTTCGGTCATATATCTACGTTAATTTTAACTCCATTAAAAAAAATTGACCTCATACATAATGAAATGGGTAGCTTTATCATTTCGTAAGAAAAAAACTATATTATTTCATGAAAACTTGGCTTATTAGGCAAATCGGGCCTTGCATTGTAGGCTGATAAGTGCGTTCTGGCTACTAGGTACGACATATATATATATATATATATATATATATATATATATATATATATATATATATATATATATATAAATATAAATAATAATTTTTCATGAATTAAAAGAGGGGTGCTACCTACCAGTTGACAATTTTGGGGATGAGTGTCCCCATGACCCGGTCTCTGACCAGGCATCCTCATTGCTGGTTTGATCAATTAGGGAGGGGGAAGTTGTTCTATAAAGTGACACTAGAATGGACATTGTACATGCAGTACTTGCACTATACAGGATAGTCGTAATGGCTTGACGCTTTCTGTTGGTAGTTCTTGTTCCTTCCCTTCTCTGTGAATATAACATACAGTACATACATGCAATACTTAGATAATATACTGTATATATATTTTTAGGTTCCTCTCGACTACCATTTTTATAGATTGGTACCATGTTTGGTACCATGATATATATCAACACCTAGTCTCACCTAGGCAGCTCAGTTGTCACAGACAATTCATTCAATATCAAAAGGTCCCCTCTAACCATGAGGGAGGCATAATTAGCTGACCTCTCATGGTGTTGATAAAAGATTCCAAAGAATGCTTGATCAACTGGGCTTTGATTCATACATCAGGCTGCATCTAACAGCCTAGTTGACCTGACCACAACCATGAGGCCTGGTCAGTGATCAGGCTTCAAAGATGTCAGTCTTTGGAACCAACGCAAGGTACAGTATATACAATTAAAGATCCATGTTGCTGGACACCCTAGCACCATTTTTCGAATGGTGAGACGTTATTCATATGCAACTGAATTTTTGCAGCATAAGCATGTATATGGTCTATTGTATAGTTCCCTTTGTTTCCATACTGTTATCTTGTTATATCTTGAGATGATTTCGGGGCTTAGCGTCCCTGTGGAACGGTCCTCGACCAGGCCTCCTTTTTGTTACACACCCCCTAGGAAGCAGCCTGTAGCAGCTGTCTAACTCCCAGGTACCTATTTACTGCTTGGTAACATGGTCATTAGGGTGAAAGAAACTTTTTGCCCATTTGTTTCCGCCTCCACCGGGGATCAAATCCGGAACCTCAGGACTACGAATCCAAAGCACTGTCCACTCGGCTGTCAGGCGCCCAGACAACATTAGGCAACATTCCTAGGATAATGTACTGTACCCTGGGTTGGCTCCGTGGGTGTGTGGAGACAGGCACCAGGTATTACGTGCTGTGATACCTTGCTCATTAATATCAGATTTTAATGTCAGAGTGCCAAGAAACAAGCTAAGGAACATGGCATGGGAAGGAGAGCTGTGCAAAACAATGAAATGTCTCCAACTCGATTAAGAACACCATTAACATAACATACAAGGTAGTATTGCATGTCTGTTAATACCAGATTATAATGTTCAGTAGTTTCCTATGATCCAGCCACTAAAAGTTCAGCTGGCTAATTCTGGTCTTCAGTCACATGGATTTTGGGTCTGTGTGTATGAAGCATGTTGTTGTAGGGATGTTGTGTTATTATGTTGAAAGTACTGTAGAGATTTTATGTAACTTGTACATGGTTGGTTATACTTGAGGAACCAGTACTAGAGTGGCTCAGCTCTTGATCCACACAAACAACTTTATGCTTCAACAGCTATAACTGAAGATTAGCTACTGTTTATTGTTATTATTTAGAGAAAATCTCTTTTATTTTTAATATATGCGATAGGTTTTACACAGTTATTAATCTTATTTTCATTTGTCTCACAAAAAAATTGTAGTTTATTTGGCCATATATATAGTGGCATATGTATCCTTCAATATTTAGTATGCATTTTTGTATTATGCTTATGTAGCTGTCCAGTCATCAAATACTGTTAATTTTGTCATTTTGCTTTTCATTGTATTTGAATCCTTCCAATGCATACAATTTTTTTATTGGACTAAGTTCAGTTTGAGTGGGAATTCACTATTATTCCAGAAAAGTGAGACTTGTCTCACTAGATAACAGTAGTACCATACAATCCAAGTTATGAAATCCAGAATTTTGTGCAATGCAAGCAATGTATTATACTATGTTGAACAGTAAATAGTGATAAAATGTTAGTGCATTGTTTGTTCAAAGCATTCCCATGCTTTAAGCCAAATCTATGCTATTAATATAATAATTTTCATAATACTGCCATTTGTTTTTGAGACTGGCAAACAAAAAAAAAAAAAAATGGAGGAAACTTTTCTTGTGGTTTCTTGAATAATTTATACTTGTAATAAGAATACTTGAAAACAAAATTCATTTTTTAATTTGACTGCAAATAAAATATAGATTGGGACTAATGTTGTTTGCTTTTTGAACTGTCTTTGGGGAAACATCCAATTTACCTGACTAAGAGAACACCTGGTCTTGCAGTCAACACCAGTTGGGTCAACGCAGACAGGCACAGAGGTGATTGTCTCACCAAGCAGAGAGAATCGTGAAAGGCACCCAACAGCTAATAAGGTAAACTTAGGCAGCATTTGTCCCTATTTCATCTTTTCAGGGCAGCTAAGGACACTTGTGCAGTGCTGAGAGCTGCTGGGCATGCATAAGTTTAAGTTCTTATGTAGTGCTGCTGTAATCACAATGTTTACATTGTTTGAATAGGGCTTAATACTTTGCCTCCAGTTGACAGGAGTAGTGAGGAATGGTGGGGGGCCTGAGCAAGGGGCTGTTGTTGGGCCAGGTGATGGCAAGGAGGGTCACAATTCCACTGCCCCGCACCAGATACAACTACCTTGGACACCAACGCAGCAGGTGGATGACACCGCCTCGCGGCCTCCCCCGGTCAGACATCATGTATGTTCAAACACTACCTCCTCACGGTTTGAGCTACAGTGCAACAACCCTGGGCACTTCAGATTGATTAAATTAATCTAGCAAAAGTTGTTTTTGAGCATTAAATATTTTATTAGCCTTTTACAAACACGAGTGTCAAAATTTCCAGATGACAGTGCACTGTGAAAGACTGTGGAGGAGTGTGAGGGGCCCGTTTGATTTACTGAATGGCAGTGGCACTGTGTGGCTTCCTTGCACTGACACACTCACACCAAATGTTTGGCTACCTCACCTTGCAATAATCTTTCTCACTCCTCTACACCACATTGCCTTATAACAATATAATCTATATATTCTAAACAACTATTGAATTTTTTTTTTTTTAGATTATTACTAGATTTTGAGAAATAGCATAGCTGGTGTGCCCAAGGATTAATATAGTACCCATGTTTTGTGATAACTAGTGTTTTGTGACTAAAATGTTGTGCTCATCGCCGAGCTTGAGGTAGTGTCTGGACATGATGTCTTGTTAATATATTAAGACTCGTGAATATAACCCATGCTGATTGTTGTTATCTTAGCCATTAGTTGATGCATCCATTATCTCAGCCACACTTGCATGTACTTTTCACACTAGGGTGAATTGCTTTTCAGGAATATCATATTACATACTAATGTAGCAGGCCAGAAATGTGACTCATGTCATTCATAATTTTTTTTTTATTATTAGTTATCTTTGGATTTCTTACCCATTTTCCATTCACTTTCTAGAGAGTATTGAATGCTTTAATGTATTAAGAAGAAACATGATATACTTGTGCATGTTTGCAAAGGGAAGCATCTTATTGATCACTTTTTGGCAATTCACATTTGAGTGTGGCTTGTTAAAGCAAATTTTCGTAAATATTAGCCTTTTCAATAATTAGATATCTTAATGTATTGAAAGCCATCAAATTTGGCATCCAAGTTATAATTGTCATATACTGCATTAATTAAATCTTCAACTTTCAAAGTGGCATACATGGAGACAGTTTTGGGTGTCGTTCTACTCCCTGAGTCTGGTCTGGGACCAGGCATGACTTGTGATAACTTCGTGCAACAGGCTGTTGTTTGGAGTGAACTGCAGGCCCACATATTCACTACAACCCAGTTTGTCTGGCTTTTCTTGCCAAAACTTAACTACATGCTTCTTGAAGACATCCACCTTTGTTCTGGAAATGTTTCTAGTGATTGCTGGGAGGGTATTGAACAGCCGTTGACTTCTGATGTTCAGATGACCTCTCTGATTGTGTCTATGGCACCTCTACTCCTCACTGGTTCTATTCTGCATTTCCTTCTGTATCTTTTCCTCCAGTATGTTGTTATTCTTCTGTACAAATTTGGGACCTGTCCCTCCAGTATTTTCCATGTACAGTGGTACCTTGGTGTACGACTGCCCTAGAGTATGAATTTTTTTGGTATACGATATCAAATTCATCATAAAATTTGAATTGGTGTACGCTGATTTACTTGGAATACGACGTTTGTTGAAACTTGTATGGGTCAAGTAAGCGCATGGTCCAGGTGCAGGGCGAGGGACACTTGGTTGTTTACCAGTGTATCCTGTCTGGTGACGACCACACTTGTATTCTTTGTAAAGAATTTAATTGTTTTTCTGCTTTTTTGTTTTCTGAACAGTAAAGTTTTTATTATATATTGCCCCATGGGTCCCAAGATGGATGGTGGAGGGGGGGACTGGATGGATGGTGGAGGAGGGACTGGATAGATGGATGGAAGGTGGAGGGGGGTCTGGATGGAAGGTGATGGGGGGGGGGGGGACTGGATGGATGGATGGATTTTACTCAATTCCCCCATGTACCCAAGCTGTCAATAGGCTGTTCTTCCTCTATGTCTGGGATGCTCTCGGACGTAGGTTCGAATCCTCGTCACGGCCCTTGTGGATTTGTTCATTTGATGCATCATGCTATTGTGATTTCTGTGTGTAATGAAGTAAGGGCGTAGAGGTAGAACAGCCTATTGACATATCTCGGGTGCATGGGGGAATTGCGTAAAACCCTGGTTTGTGTCTTGGAGAGACTGCAGGATCCGTTGATAAATCAGGATGATTTGCCAGTTGCAATTCTATTGACCATGTCGTAGCTCAGTCGATTAAGGCAGCGTCTGGGATGCTCTCGGACGCAGGTTCGAATCCTCGTCACGGCCCTTGTGGATTTGTTCGAAGGTACCGCTGTATATATTATTTGATACCTTTCTCGTCTCATTTCCAAAGAGTACATTTTGAGAGCATTGAGATGGTCCCAATAATTTAGGTGTTTTATCATTTCTGTGTGTAGTATAGGTTCTCAGTAATCCCTCTATTTCAGAAATATCTTCAGCTCTGAAAGGGAAAGCTAGTACTGAGCAGTATTCAAGACAAGACAGCACCAGTGATTTAAATAGTATTAGCATTGCTGTGGGATCTCTGGATTTGAATGTTCTCATAGGAGAATGGTTCTCGTAGGAGATTTACTACCTCCTTTGTGTTGTGGAGCTATATCTGCTGATATAGCTATAAGTGCTGGTGGTATCTCCCCTGTATCCAGGCTCTTTCTCCATATTAAGCTGAGTGCACATGCTACTGGTACTGTACATTTCTTTATGAATATTGAATTCCACAAGTCAGGACCTGGGGCTGAGTGCATGGGCATTTTGTCAATTTCTGTCGCGTGTGTTCGAGTTAACGTCGGTTACATTATCTGGAGTTTGTATGTCATAACGAAGCTGTCTGAATCATCAACTTTGTTTATTGGGGTGCTAAACATAGCTTCATACTGGCCTTTAGGATTTGGCAGTTATATTATTTGTTCTATATATTTTATTGTGTGTAGAGTTGGGTTGACATCTGGAGAAAGCCTTTACTAAGTAGCTTCAGCCCTGGTATGTACTGTATATGCCATACAGTATTGTGTACTGCATGTTTGACCAGTCATATAGCCAGTAGGATATAAAACCTGATCTGGAATAAAGTTATGATGTTATAGTGATGTCATGCACCTTGTGCATACCATATATATAAAACATTCTTATTTTGGTTATGTTGGGTTATTGATGACAAAAACGGTAAAAATTGTCTCGCAGTCTTAGACTCCACTCTTTATAGTCCAATACTTAATTCTAGCCACCAAGTATATAAAGCCTCCTTTTTGTTACACATCGCCAGGAAGCAGCCCGTAGTAGCTGTCCAACTCCCAGGTACCTATATACTGCTAGGTGAACAAATTTTCCCAAAAGAAATAATGTAAATTGAATTAATCCATTGCAAACCCCCAAAAATATTAACTTAAAAATACATTTTATACCGAATAACACTCATTTTGTACTACCTACAACACTGTACATATATCTTACTGTGAATGAGTACTCTTGTTGGCATATGGAAGATGGTGAGGAGGAGGAGGAGGAGAGGTGTTAGTGTTTGGAATGGTACTCCCCTACCATTATAACATCAGGCAGTGATGCCTTTCCTGGGGTACTCTCTCTCCTACGTTTTGCCGGCATACCACTAGGACTTGCTTGTGGTTCACTGCTTGTTTGTCTCACTAAAATCCTATCTAACAACACTTGTGTTTCCTACGCTGTAACACTTGTCTGAAGTGAGACATCACATTGTCATTAAAAAGGTTAACACAATGGCCTGCTACAGCTTGATTTGAGTGTCACTTTCCAGTAAAACTTTGCCATTCTTCCCATACTGTACACATTTTGTTAATAAATAAGGAAAGAGACATCCTCTACTCTATATCAACAACCCTCATAACATATTCATGTTTATGAATGATCTCTTGTTTTTCCTATATCGTCATTCTCACAACAATTTTCTTAGGCTGAACTTTACCACTGACTTTTTTAGAACTTATGGTGTGATATGTAATAAGATTTTTTGTTAAAAAAGCAAAAAAGCAGGCAAACAATTAAATTCTTCACAAAGAATTCAAGTGCAGCTGTGGTTGTCACTGCTGGATAGACTTGTAAACAAACTGAGAGTGCCTCGCCCTGCACCCCCAGCATCATGCACTCTTTTTGACTCGTACGCGTACAAACAGACGTAGTCTTCCAAATAAACACGTAGACCATTTCAAATTTTACAATGAATTTGTCGTCGTATACCAAAAAATCGTACTCTAGGGTAGTCGTCAACCGAGGTTCCACTGTATACAAATGAATATAGAGTACAACATTTGGATTAAACGAGGTTTTGAATTTATCAACACAATAGAACAATAAACAATGAATATGAATTGCATAAGCTTAGATTCCAGAAAGACCTAGGTAAATACTGATTTGGAAACAGGGTTGTTGATTTATGAAACAAATTACCGGGTAACATAAGTATGATCGTTGGATTGTTATTCAGACATGCATATGAATAAGTTTGGTGGATATAAGTAGGAACCTAGCCTCTCATTGAGCCGAGCAGCAGTTGCTTGTGTAACCAGACAATGTTTTGAACAGATCCACCCACTAGGGAAGTTAAATAAGTAGTAGCTGTGTGTGTGTGTGTTGTACTGTACTTAATGTACACTATCTCCAAGTGAGAGAGCTTTGGTTTGAATCTTGGATTGTAGAATGGTGGCACACTGTTCATTAACTTTGTCTGCTTCTGTTCACCCAGCAGTACAATAATAGACTTAAATATCAACAATTTGTTGATTCTCTTCTGGGGTAAACATATGCCTAACGCCTGACAGCTGGGTGGACAGTGCTTTGGATTCGTAGTCTTGAGGTTCCCGGATTCGATCCCCAGTGGAGGAGACAAATGGGTAAAATGTGTTTCACCCTGATGCCCCTGTTACCTGGGAGTTAGACAGTTGCTATGGGTTGCTTACTGGGGGTGGAGGCCTGGTTGAGGACCGGGCCGCGGGTACACTAAGCCCCGAAATCAAATCTCAAGATAACTATGGTCGGCAGAGCTCTTCGTCTGCAAGCGAGTGTCAGGAGACTACCTCTCTTTTACCTATCAATATGTAGAAAATAAAATAATG